TTCGAACATGACAAGGAACGCCAACAGAGGATCCTGATCGCTACAGTGCCGAACGGAGTTTCGCCACTCCTCAAGACGAAGCAGATGCAGCCGAAGAATATTATCCGCCCGACAGCGTAGCAGCAGGATCTTCTACAGCTCAGCAGCCAAACCTGATCTCTCGTCACGAGAAGAACCATTGTTCGAATCCTACATCCCTTCAACACGTGCCAATAACACAGATTCCTCTCTCTTCATTCCACTCTCGGACCCGTTGCGTCCTGCCACGACATTGGGTGCCTATAATTATGAGGAGCACATGCGCTGACAGAAAACTGACACAGCATCACATAACGGTGTGCGCCATCTGCCATCCGAAAATGACGATGATGACGTCGTCAAAGTTTGCCAACCTCATCCTCATGGTGACCAATCGGCTCTTCAGATCCTCGGACTCGCTGTCGCAGTTCAATAACCAACGACCGGGATCGAGTCGAAAACAGTCAAGCAGGCCCTCTCCGGCTCTGATGCTGACAAGTGGCAGGTAGCTATGGATGCAGAGGTAGCAGCTCTCGAGAAGCGGAAAACGTGGAAACTCGTTCCACATGATGCAACACGTGGCAAGAAAACTCTTTCAATCAAATTGATCTTTCGCATAAAGACAAATACAGCAGGCGAACCAGACAGATTCAAGGGAAGATGGGTCATTCGTGGTTTTGAACAAACCCACGGCATCGATCATGACCAGCCATTTGCTCCGGTCAGCCCCTCAGTTTGAATTCTTCTCGCCATAGCTGTCAGCCGCTACCTTCCACTTCGCCAACTGGACGTTAAAAATGTGTTTTTATACGCAGACGTCGACGCATATTTTCGTTGAACTCCCTCACACTTTCAGCAAAAGACTCCACATCTGGAAATTACTTAAGTCACTCTATGGTATCAAATACGCTCCTCGCTTATGGCAGCAGCATCTTCACAAAGTGCTGATTTCACTCGACTCCGTGCAGCTGCCCCACGATCTCGGAATGTACAGACTCGAATTTCGGGGGAATTACATTCTCCTAGTCACCTACGTGGATGATTTACTGTACACCGGCTCGTGCAACAGTCCTTTGGCCCGCATGGAGAAAAGAATCCAAACGATTCATGAAGTGACTATTTCTCTGAATGTCACTCAATTTCTTGGGTTAAACGTCAATTGCGGCCCCAATGTCATCTATCTTTCTGCAAGCAAGTACGCAGAATCACTTGGGAAAAGTTCGCCATTGCTCCTATTGGCCTCACCACCCCATTTCGTCACATTTTGGCCGATCACACACCTGATACTACCCCACTTACCGCCTCCGAGCATCAGCTTTACCAGCTGCAGCTCGGGTGTCTTCTATTTGCAGCTGTTACATGCCGCCCAGATCTTGCCTACAGCACGAGTCAGCTCGTACAGTACCTGCGCCAACTAGAAGGGGAGAATATGGCCAATCTTCATTGAGCCCTCCAATATTTCATTTCTACTACTACAATCGGCATCAGCTATACGACAAACACTGCAACAAATCTTCGACTGACTGAATATGTTGATGTGGATCATGCTGCTGACCCCGACAACAGGCGTTCGCGTACAGGGTTCATTTTCGAACTTGAACCGGGTGGTGTCATTTCTTGGAACTCAACGAAACAGGAAGTCCGTAAGCCGAAGCAAAATTCATCGCAGCAAGCTCTGCAGTTCGCGAAGGACTCTAACTTCAAGAGGCGAAAATCGCAACGACACGTAACTTCAAGTTACTCCGCGACAACCAGAGCTCAATCAAGATTGCAAACAAGCTTGACTTCGTCAACAGGACAAAACACATTGCCCTCCGTTACTTCTTCGTCAAGGACGAAATCGACAAAGGGAAGGTCAAATCTGAATTACTGCCCTACAAAAGAAATGGCAGCTGATTTCTTGACGAAGAAACTCCCACGCGGCAAGTTTCAATACTACTCCAACCTGGTTGGAATCTGCAACAAGGCGACACTTACCTTGAGACATACATGTCACATTATGTTTTATATAATGTGTTTGTGTAGGCTTGGTAGGTGTGCTATAATTACCGGATCTTACTATAGAGGGTACAACACCCTTCGTGTATCCCTCTCTCTTCTAATCCAAGCCCTCTTTCCTCTCATCAACTTTTCCTAGCACCTAAAAACTCTCGCTATTCCTAATGCCTAGTTAGCTCCTAAACGCCCTTTCTAACATGGCAGAGCAGGTCGATCCTCCTGAGTCTTATCACCACGCTTTCGCAGCGTCCTCTCGCCCCTTCCGTCTTCTACGCGCCGCCGTGGCGGCCACGTCGTGCTGTCACGGCGGCCTTTATGCGCTGCCATGGCAGCCCCGACGCGCTGCCGTGGCGTCGACGCTACGCCGTGTCGCCGTCCTGCCATGCCGCCGTGCGGCGGTGCCGCCGTTCCGCTGTGTCGCCGTCCCGCCCTGCCGCCGTGCCGTGGTGCCGTCATTCCGCCGTGCCAATGTGTCGCCGTGCAGCCGCGTCGTCGTGCAGCCGTGACGGCGCCGACGTGCCAGTGCACGAGCGGCAGCGGGCCTATCACCGTTTTAGGCGCCAGCCATGACGCCCGCACGCCAGCCAGTGCGCCAGCCACGAGCTTCTTGGTGAAGCACACCCCCCCCTCCCCCTGCATCTCCCCTTACTCCAGCCACAGCTGCTGACTCAATACCCGGTCATCGCCGGACCGTGCCGCGCCGCCGGGAGCTGCGAGCGCCGCCGCCGCCGCCGAAGTCACCGCCGCCGTCGTCGAAGTCGCCGCCGCCACCGCCGCCGCTGCTGCCGTCGTCGTAGAAGCCGCCGCTGATGCCGTAGCTGCCACCCGCCGCTGCTGTCGCCGCTTCGCACGAGGGGTAGAAGCCACACCTGCAGCTGGACATGGGGGTGCACGGGCTTGGGGTTGTGTCGTGTTGGGTGGGCTTGCAACTACCAAGTCTAGGGGGTGTGTCACAATATATTTTATATAATATGAATGTGTAGGCTTGGTAGGTGTGCTACAATTACCGGATCCTACTATAGAGGGTACAACACCCTTGTTGTATCCCTCTCTTCTAGTCCAAGCCCTCTTTCCTCTTATCAACTTTTCCTTAGCACCTGAAACCTCTCACTATTCCTAATGCCTAGTTAGCTCCTAAACGCCCTTTCTAACAATACACTAAGGAATGAAGGGGAGTGTTGAAGTATACTCGACAGAGTTTACTTATGCATTCATTATATAACACTTAGACTGTAGCAATTGTGCGATAACTCATATGGAAGGACGCGCGTGATGACGACAGTAGTAGCGAGTCAACACGTGAACAGTAGGTTTCGCGCGTATAGTCACCAGAAGGGTCACGCCACTCTGTCACACGAACCGTCATGTCATGAATGGTCACGCGAATAGTCACTAGTCATGAATGGTCACGCCACTAGTCACGCCACTCATCAACTTTTCCTAGCACCTAAAACCTCTCACTATTCCTAATGCCTAGTTAGCTCCTAAACGCCCTAGCAACCTTTCCTCTCATCAACTTTTCCTAGCACCTAAAACCTCTCACTATTCCTAATGCCTAGTTAGCTCCTAAACGCCCTTTCTAACAATACACTAAGGAATGAAGGGGAGTGTTGAAGTGTACTCTGTTAGAATGCTAGCTTAGCTAGGAAGCTAGGAAAGGCTTGAGGTTTAGCTAGGAGGAGCCATGGAGTGGCGTGAGGTTTAGGAAGGAGAAAAGTTGAGGAGAGAAAAGGAAGTTAGGAAAGAAGAGAGGGGGATACAAGGAGGGTTGTTGTACCCCCTACAATAATGTTCAGTAACATCTAATCTACCAAGCCTACACATTATATAACTCAATATATAATTTTAACACACCCCCTAGGCTTGGTAGTCACATGCCCACACACACCCACACCCCCTAACCTAGCACCCCCATTCCAAGCATCAGCCACGTCTACTTCGGTGGGGCCAGCCCCCACGGCCTGTGAGATGGCGATGGCGGCAACCACGACAGTGACGAGAGCGGCGGCGGCGGCGGCGTGCGGCGGCAACGGCCTGCGGCAACGGCGGCGGCGGCGGCGGCGACTTCAACATCAGAGGCGACTGCAGCGGCCCCCGCCCTTTCGGCGGCATGGCCAGTCTCGACGGCGATGGGGGCCCCCACGCGCCAGGCGTCGGCTGTGGCGAGGAGGGGACGCAGGGGAAGGAGGGCAGCTGGCGTGCGGGCGGTGGCGATGTCACAGGCGTCGCGCGGTCGGCTGCGGCCCGACGGCGCCGTCACAGAGCGGCGTCGATGCCGCAGCGGGACGTCGACGCTGCGACGGCATCACGACGGCCCGACACCACGGCAGCGCGTCGAGACGGTCGCGGCACGACGCGGCCAGCGGCATCACGACGCCGCCACTGCAGCAAAACGCGGCCGCCATGGCTGCGCGAGCGAACGAGGGTGAGGAGTACGCGGCGGAAGCGTGAGGAGGCGGTCCAGCAGGGAGGAACTGCTCTAATGCCATGTTAGAATGCTAGCTTAGCTAGGAAGCTAGGAAAGGCTTGAGGTTTAGCTAGGAGGAGCCATGGAGTGGCGTGAGGTTTAGGAAGGAGAAAAGTTGAGGAGAGAAAAGGAAGTTAGGAAAGAAGAGAGGGGGATACAAGGAGGGGTGTTGTACCCCCTACAGTAATGTTCAGTAACATCTAATCTACCAAGCCTACACATTATATAACTCAATATATAATTTTAACATACTCCACAGAGTTTACTTATGCATTCAAGATATAACACTTAGACTGTAGCGGTAGCGCGATAACTCATATGGAAGGACGCGCGTGATGACGACAGTAGCAGCGAGTCAACACGTGAACAGAAGGTTCGCGCGTATAGTCACCAGAAGGGTCACGCCACTCTGTCACACAAACCGTCGTGTCACGCGAATAGTCACTAGTCATGAATGGTCACCAAAAGGGTCACGCCACTAGTCATGTCACGATAATAGTCGCGATACACTACGAACAGGTACATCTGAATAGGCACTTCCTAAACTATAAATATGTTTCTCTTATCCATTATGATTATCCTTGTCATTTCGGACATTTCCAATACAAGGTGTTAAGTCTTCCGCTGACTTTTACTCGTGGTTCCACCAACTCTAGATCCTGGCCACCCTAAACACGTGGTTCACTTTGACAAAAAGTCGTCTCTAATCACACAGAAGCACACTGCCACTGCCAGGCTCATGCTAGAGGCACGGAGTGCATGCGCGCTGCAAGCTCGTATATGTGCTGAGGCCAGTTGCGGTGCAGCGTGCCTGCTACAAGGTTGAGTACCTGCAGGAAGCGGGGTGTTTGGATGCGGGTGTTTGAATGTGGGTGTTTGTAAGGGGGGTGGGGGGCACCAGAGCATCCAGAATTCAAAAGGGGGGGGTGGGGCAAGAGGAAGGGGGGGGGGGGGAGGGGGGGTTTTGAGGGGAGGTTGAAATGGGTGAGATGAGACAAGCAGAGCTCGAGTGATTGGGGGTGGTGAAGCGCGGTCGGAAAGCGTGGGAGGGAGGGCAAGAGACAGGGCGGGAGGGATGGGGATGCAGCAGCAGTAGCACAGCAAAAACCCCTTGCCCTCTCCAGCTCCCCTTTCATCACTTCCCCCCCCCCCCCCTTACCCTTCCCCCTTCCCTGCCCCCGTCCCCTACCTCCTCCCCCCAGCGACTCACATTATTCCTCAGCGCCCGCACGTTAGGATCGGCATCCGGCAGCCGATCCAGGCAAGACAGCACGTCCTCCAGCAGCTTCGGCAGCCGGTCCTCCACAGCTCGGTGCAGGCTCGGCAGCACGGCAGCACAGGCGACAGGAGAGCGGCCAGCAAAGGGCAGGAAGGGGAGGCCGGAGAGGTGCTGGAGCGCTGAGGGGAGGCGCGAGGAGGCGTAGTCCAGGTAGAAGCGGAATATGGACTCTAGCTGGCGGAAGGCCACCTGCTGCTCTGCAAGTGATGAGCGATCAGGGAAACTGCAGGGGGGAGGGGCAGGGGGGCGGAAGCGGGGGGGGAGTATGTGGGGAAAGAAAAGAGGCAGGAAGAACAAAGAAACAGTAGCTACAGGGCAGACAATGAGTATGCCCCTCGACACTAGCTTCCCCTGCCCCTGTTTCCTCACCTCATCTTCCCCCTGTTCCTCACCTTGCCCCTGCTCCCTCACCTTGCCCCTGCTCCCTCACCTTGCCCCGGCTGGCAGTGCAGCAGCAGCGCTACCAGCAGCAGCAGCAGTGGCGGCAGGAGGAGCCTCCCCAATGATCTGGTTCCCCAGAGCAGCATGAGCAGATGCCGCTCTCACTGCCGTGCTGTCGGTGCTACCAGCCCCTGCTGCTGCTGCCACAGCTGCCAGCGCCTGGGAGAAGCGGTCGTTCACGAGGAGCAGAGCAGCGGCTGGGGCACGCGCCCACCGGTACAGGTGAATGGCCTGGCGTGGTTGGTTGAAGGGGGGGAAGTGGGGGAAAGAATGCAACTTGTGAGACGAGACAAGGAGAAGTCTCTCGGGATGGGAGACGCCGTCATTCACGAGGAGAAGAGCGGCCACTGGGGCACCCACTGGTACAGGTGTATGGCTTGGTAATGCGGATGGGGGGATGGAGGAGAGTGCAGGAAGGACACGCGAGGAACCGAGGGAAACAGCAGTTTAGGATTGAACGTTGCGAAGGAACAAACTAGCACGCGGAAGCAATGCCCTCTGTGCCGCTGACGTAATTCTTCTGATTCACCCACTGACCATGCAATCTTGTCTTTCTCCATTCCTCCCCATGCCCTCCCCAACAACTGCCTTGTCAACAACCCCATCCCGCATCCCAACCAACCCCCTCTCCTCCCGTCCCAACCCCCCACCCTCCCATTCCCCCAAATATTCCTTCTCCCTCCCCCCACCCCCCCCTCCTCTCCGTCTCACCTCCTCATCCTGCCCCATGTCTTGGCAGTCCTTCGCCGCACCCAGCACCACCTGCCTCTGCGCCCCTTCCTCCGCCACAAACCGCCCCAGCGACCCCCCGCCTCCCCCTCCTCCTCCTCCCACTCCCACCACCTCCGCTCCCCCGATCCCTCCTCCACTCCCCAGCAGCTCCTCAATCCCTCTCTTGCTCCTCAGCACCTCTCTAACCGTTGCCTCCATCACCGTCGCCCTGCGTCTCCTCTGCTCCCTAGTCGTGTTGGCGCCTCCTCTGCCTGCCACCCCCCCCCCTGCGATCACATCAGCAGCGACAGCAAAGTACTCCAGGGCCGTGCGCACGTCTCCGGCTCTCAGGAACACAGACACCGCGTACTTGCGAATGATCCCCGCCACGTCCGCTTCTGCGTCCACCACCGACGCTGCTCCTCCCCCTCCCGCTCCTGTCCCCCCCCTCCACCCCCACCCTCCACACCATCCCCCCCACCTGCTCCCCTACCGCTTCCTCTCAGCGACAGCTGCAGGCAGCCAGAGTGGGCCAAGGCAATCCCTAGGTGCACCGCGTCCACCACATCGATGCTCTCCAGGTGGTATACCACCGCCGCATGCAGCTGTAGGCTCAGCAGCAGCACGTAGGGGTAGACCAGGGGGTCCTTGCCATTCTTGGTGTAATAGGACGGGTCGAACCGGGACAGGTACGCCTGTAGGCCCTCAAGGGTGCAATACACCCCACTAGCAGCAGCAGCAGAAGCAGCAGCATCTGCACCAGCAGACCCGAACCCACCAACTCCGGTCCCCAAACCCCCTAGATCCCGACCGGGGAATGCAAGACCACCAGGGGAGGTTTGGGAGCGAGAGGCGGGCCCTGCTTGGCGCAGGATAGCGAGATGGAACCACATAAAGTCCTCTATGGTGGGAAAGAGGGATGGGGCCTCGCGTAGCAGCCGATCCGCCAGGGCCTTTCGCCCTGAGATGAGCACGTATAGCAGCAGCTTGCGTCGATCTACTCCGCCCCCTGCTGCGCCCGCTCCTGCGAAGGGTGCGCCTGGCCGGGAGAGGGCAGCGTGGGAAGCTGTGCGAGCCATGCGGTCGCACTCGTCTGCTGCTGCTGTTGACGTGGCGGGGTTGATCGAGCCGTTGGATGAGAGCCACGTGGCAAGCTGATTAGTGGGGGGGATGGGGGGGATGGGGAGGGAGGGGAGAGGGAAGGGTACAAGTGGGAGTGGGAAGGGGAGGCATAAACGGGAGAGATGGAGGGTTGGGGGAAGAAAGGGGTGGGGGAAGGGAGGGGCGTGAAGGAGTGAGGGAGAGTGGGGGATGGGAAAACACTGGAGGGTGGGAGAGGCTGCCTTTGAGAATTCTCAAAAACACCCTGCAAAATCAAGGGTGGGAGAGGCTGCCTTTGAATCGACTCAAAAGCAGACAAATGAAACACTGGAGGGTGGGAGAGAGGGAGGGACCCATGTGCGAGCATTTAAAGAGACTTCAGGTGGGGGAGAAAGCGGAGCAAGGCCAAGCGGAAATATATACCCAAGGGAAGGTGGGTGTGGTGCTGCTGGGGTGTGGTATGGTGCAGGTGTGTGTGGCGTGGTGGTGCAATGCGGCCTACCAGGGGAGCGAAGGCACGGGCGGAGCGGGAGGTTTGAGCGACGTGCAGAGCATCGTTGGTGAAGCCGGAGCGAAGGCAGTAGAAGATCTAAGGGTGGGAAGAGACGTGTATTCATGGAAGGAAGGACGTGTATGGGAAGGAGATGCATGGGAAGCAGAGGAGATGCTGAAGAAGGCTGCCTTAGACAGCTATGGTGGTGAGTGCAGTGCAGTCTCTGACTCGCTCTTGTGCTGCTGCCCTGCCCCTCCTATTCCCCCAATGCAAGCAACCCATGATTGAAGTACAGCATCCCCTCCCACCCCCACACTTCCTGGTGACTTTTGAGTCGACTCAAAAGTCCCTCCCACCCCCACACTTCCCCCTGCGAAAAAAATATTGAACCATCCTATATGATCGAACCACACTAGACATGAGCTTCGTTTGGCACAAAGCAGCTTACTGCAGGGTCTCAAAAGAGCAAAACTCGCCAGCAGCGGCATCCCACCTGGAGCCACGACTCACCTGAACCTACAAGCAAGCAAGCACGGCCTCACCTGGTGCCATGTGGTGTCGAGCGGCGGCAGGCGGGTGGTTGGCGTGGCGTCAAAGTCCAACGGGCCCTGATCGCGCAGCCGCACCTGCGGCAGCAAGGAGGGGGAGTGGGGGGGGGGGAGAGGGGAGGAAGAGGGGGGGTGTGAGGAAGGGTGGGAGGGCGGGTAGTTGGCGTGGCATCAAATTCCAACGGGCCCTGATCGCGCAGCCGCACCTGCAGGCAGCAAGGAGAAAGGGGGTTGGGGGGGGGGTGGAGAGGGGAGATGGAGGAGGAGGAATGGAGGAGGGGAATGGAGGAGGGGAAGGGGGCATATTGTTAGCATGGCATCAAGGACCAGTGGCCCCTGAGCCCGCAGCTGCACCCGACGCAGCATAGAAGAACTGGAGGCACGCAGGGGTGAGGGAGGGAGGAGGGAGGGAGCAGGAGAGAGGGGATGGAGTGGCAATCTAGTGGTGGGCGTGGTTTGATCTCTAACAGACCCTGATCCCACAGCCACACCTGCAGCTACCAGGGGGGAGAACCGATGGCATGTGTGCGGGGGGGGTTAGCTTCATAAATGAGTGACAAGGACAACAAGGAGAAGGGAGATGCAAAGGAGGAGGCATGGTCGAAAGCAAGAGGTAGAAGGATGGTGAGGTAAGAGATGGGGCATGGGCATGGGCATGGGCATGGGGAATAGGGCATGGAGCATGGGGCATGCGGCATGGGCCACGGGGCATGGCGCATGCGGCATATGCATGGGCATGGGGCATGGGGCATGAGGCACGGGGCACGGGGCGTGAGTGAGGCATGTGACATGGGGCATGGGGTATGGCACAGGACGCATGGCGCATGGGCAGCATGGGCAGCATGGGCAGCATGGGCAGCATGGGCAGCATGGGCAGCATGGGTGGCATGGGCAGCATGGGCAGCATGGGCAGCATGGGCAGCATGGGCGGCATGGGCAGCATGGGCAGCATGGGCAGCATGGGCAGCATGGGCAGCATGGGCAGCATGGGCAGCATGGGCGGCATGGGCAGCATGGGCAGCATGGGCGGCATGGGCAGCATGGGCAGCATGGGCAGCAGGGGCAGCATGGGCGGCATGGGCAGCATGGGCAGCATGGGCAGCATGGGCAGCATGGGCAGCATGGGCAGCATGGGCAGCATGGGCAGCATGGGCAGCATGGGCAGCATGGGCAGCATGGGCGGCATGGGCAGCATGGGCAGCATGGGCGCATGGGCAGCATGGGCGCATGGGCAGCATGGGCAGCATGGGCGGCATGGGCAGCATGGGCAGCATGGGCAGCATGGGCAGCATGGGCGGCATGGGCAGCATGGGCAGCATGGGCAGCATGGGCAGCATGGGCAGCATGGGCGGCATGGGCAGCATGGGCAGCATGGGCAGCATGGGCAGCATGGGCAGCATGGGCAGCATGGGCGGCATGGGCAGCATGGGCAGCATGGGCGGCATGGGCAGCATGGGCAGCATGGGCAGCATGGGCAGCATGGGCGGCATGGGCAGCATGGGCAGCATGGGCAGCATGGGCAGCATGGGCAGCATGGGCAGCATGGGCGGCATGGGCAGCATGGGCAGCATGGGCGGCATGGGCGGCATGGGCAGCATGGGCAGCATGGGCGGCATGGGCGGCATGGGCGGCATGGGCAGCATGGGCAGCATGGGCAGCATGGGCGGCATGGGCAGCATGGGCAGCATGGGCGGCATGGGCAGCATGGGCGCTGGGCAGCATGGGCAGCATGGGCAGCATGGGCAGCATGGGCAGCATGGGCGGCATGGGCAGCATGGGCAGCATGGGCGGCATGGGCAGCATGGGCGCATGGGCAGCATGGGCGCATGGGCGGCATGGGCAGCATGGGCAGCATGGGCAGCATGGGCAGCATGGGCAGCATGGGCAGCATGGGCAGCATGGGCAGCATGGGCAGCATGGGCAGCATGGGCGGCATGGGCAGCATGGGCAGCATGGGCAGCATGGGCGGCATGGGCAGCATGGGCAGCATGGGCAGGCATGGGCAGCATGGGCGCATGGGCAGCATGGGCAGCATGGGCAGCATGGGCAGCATGGGCAGCATGGGCAGCATGGGCAGCATGGGCAGCATGGGCAGCATGGGCAGCATGGGCAGCATGGGCAGCATGGGCAGGGCGCATGGGCAGCATGGGCGCAGGGGCATGGGCAGCATGGGCGGCATGGGCAGCATGGGCGGCATGGGCAGCATGGGCAGCATGGGCGGCATGGGCAGCATGGGCAGCATGGGCAGCATGGGCAGCATGGGCAGCATGGGCAGCCATGGGCAGCATGGGCAGCATGGGCAGCATGGGCAGCATGGGCAGCATGGGCAGCATGGGCAGCATGGGCAGCATGGGCCATGGCAGCATGGGCGCATGGCATGGGCAGCATGGGCAGCATGGCGCATGGGCAGCATGGGCAGCATGGGCCAGCATGGGCAGCATGGGCAGCATGGGCGGCATGGGCAGCATGGGCAGCATGGGCAGCATGGGCAGCATGGGCAGCATGGGCAGCATGGGCAGCATGGGCAGCATGGGCGGCATGGGCAGCATGGGCAGCATGGGCGGCATGGGCAGCATGGGCAGCATGGGCGGCATGGGCAGGCATGGGCGGCACGGGCAGCATGGGCGGCATGGGCAGCATGGGCAGCATGGGCGGCATGGGCAGCATGGGCGGCATGGGCGGCACGGGCAGCATGGGCGGCATGGGCGGCATGGGCAGCATGGGCGGCATGGGCAGCATGGGCAGCATGGGCGGCACGGGCAGCATGGGCGGCATGGGCAGCATGGGCAGCATGGGCGGCATGGGCAGCATGGGCAGCATGGGCGGCATGGGCAGCATGGGCAGCATGGGCGGCATGGGCAGCATGGGCGGCATGGGCGGCACGGGCAGCATGGGCGGCATGGGCGGCACGGGCAGCATGGGCGGCATGGGCAGCATGGGCAGCATGGCGGCATGGGCAGCATGGGCGGCATGGGCGGCACGGGCAGCATGGGCGGCATGGGCAGCATGGGCAGCATGGGCGGCATGGGCAGCATGGGCGGCATGGGCAGCATGGGCGGCATGGGCAGCATGGGCAGCATGGGCGGCATGGGCAGCATGGGCGGCATGGCGGCACGGCAGCATGGGCGGCATGGGCAGCATGGGCAGCATGGGCGGCATGGGCAGCATGGGCGGCATGGGCGGCACGGGCAGCATGGGCGGCATGGGCGGCATGGGCAGCATGGGCGGCATGGGCAGCATGGGCAGCATGGGCGGCACGGGCAGCATGGGCGGCATGGGCAGCATGGGCAGCATGGGCGGCATGGGCAGCATGGGCAGCATGGGCGGCATGGGCAGCATGGGCAGCATGGGCGGCATGGGCAGCATGGGCGGCATGGGCGGCACGGGCAGCATGGGCGGCATGGGCGGCACGGGCAGCATGGGCGGCATGGGCAGCATGGGCAGCATGGGCGGCATGGGCAGCATGGGCGGCATGGGCGGCACGGGCAGCATGGGCGGCATGGGCAGCATGGGCAGCATGGGCGGCATGGGCAGCATGGGCGGCATGGGCAGCATGGGCGGCATGGGCAGCATGGGCGGCATGGGCAGCATGGGCAGCATGGGCGGCAGGGCAGCATGGGCGCATGGCGGCATGGGCAGCATGGGCGCATGGGCGGCATGGGCAGCATGGGCGCATGGGCAGCATGGGCGGCATGGGCAGCATGGGCAGCATGGGCGGCATGGGCAGCATGGGCGGCATGGGCGGCACGGGCAGCATGGGCGCATGGGCGGCACGGGCAGCATGGGCGGCATGGGCAGCATGGGCAGCATGGGCGGCATGGGCAGCATGGGCGGCATGGGCGGCACGGGCAGCATGGGCGGCATGGGCAGCATGGGCAGCATGGGCAGCATGGGCGGCATGGGCAGCATGGGCAGCATGGGCGGCATGGGCAGCATGGGCGGCATGGGCAGCATGGGCAGCATGGGCGGCATGGGCAGCATGGGCAGCATGGGCAGCATGGGCAGCATGGGCAGCATGGGCAGCATGGGCAGCATGGGCAGCATGGGCAGCATGGGCAGCATGGGCAGCATGGGCAGCATGGGCAGCATGGGCAGCATGGGCGGCATGGGCAGCATGGGCGCCATGGGCAGCATGGCCAGCATGGCCAGCATGGGCAGCATGGGCAGCATGGGCGGCATGGGCAGCATGGGCAGCATGGGCAGCATGGGCAGCATGGGCAGCATGGGCAGCATGGGCAGCATGGGCAGCATGGGCGGCATGGGCAGCATGGGCAGCATGGGCGGCATGGGCAGCATGGGCGGCATGGGCGGCACGGGCAGCATGGGCGGCATGGGCAGCATGGGCAGCATGGGCGGCATGGGCAGCATGGGCGGCATGGGCGGCACGGGCAGCATGGGCGGCATGGGCGGCATGGGCAGCATGGGCGGCATGGGCAGCATGGGCAGCATGGGCGGCACGGGCAGCATGGGCGGCATGGGCAGCATGGGCAGCATGGGCGGCATGGGCAGCATGGGCAGCATGGGCGGCATGGGCAGCATGGGGCAGCATGGGCGGCATGGGCAGCATGGGCGGCATGGGCGGCACGGGCAGCATGGGCGGCATGGGCGGCACGGGCAGCATGGGCGGCATGGGCAGCATGGGCAGCATGGGCGGCATGGGCAGCATGGGCGGCATGGGCGGCACGGGCAGCATGGGCGGCATGGGCAGCATGGGCAGCATGGGCGGCATGGGCAGCATGGGCGGCATGGGCAGCATGGGCGGCATGGGCAGCATGGGCAGCATGGGCGGCATGGGCAGCATGGGCGGCATGGGCGGCACGGGCAGCATGGGCGGCATGGGCAGCATGGGCAGCATGGGCGGCATGGGCAGCATGGGCGGCATGGGCGGCACGGGCAGCATGGGCGGCATGGGCGGCATGGGCAGCATGGGCGGCATGGGCAGCATGGGCAGCATGGGCGGCACGGGCAGCATGGGCGGCATGGGCAGCATGGGCAGCATGGGCGGCATGGGCAGCATGGGCAGCATGGGCGGCATGGGCAGCATGGGCAGCATGGGCGGCATGGGCAGCATGGGCGGCATGGGCGGCACGGGCAGCATGGGCGGCATGGGCGGCACGGGCAGCATGGGCGGCATGGGCAGCATGGGCAGCATGGGCGGCATGGGCAGCATGGGCGGCATGGGCGGCACGGGCAGCATGGGCGGCATGGGCAGCATGGGCAGCATGGGCGGCATGGGCAGCATGGGCGGCATGGGCAGCATGGGCGGCATGGGCAGCATGGGCGGCATGGGCAGCATGGGCAGCATGGGCGGCATGGGCAGCATGGGCAGCATGGGCGGCATGGGCAGCATGGGCGGCATGGGCGGCATGGGCAGCATGGGCAGCATGGGCATGAGACAAGGGCATTACTCTGAGGAAGGCTCGCACGCGGTGAAGACTGCCAGTGGAGCCGCCCAGTGATGCCTGGTGCACGGAGGGGAGGAGGGAGCGAGGGAAGGAGGGAGCGAAGAAGGGAGGGAAGGAGGGAGCGAAGAAGGGAGGGAAGGAGGGAGCGGACCAGCGAGGGGACCGGCGAGGGGAGCAGGGAGAGAGGTTGAGTGGGTAAGGAACAGGAGGAGAGGGAGTGGGGGGGGGAGGGGGGGCTAGGATAGGACGAGGGGGGGGAAAGGGCGAAGATGGGGAAGGCGAAAAGGATCATATGGCAGGAAAAGCTGACGCGCCTCAGAAACGACTTTGAGGTGGCCTTTCTCAGTGCCGCCTGCCAAACAGCCCGCAAGAGAAACTATTTTCTGAGGCGCCTAAAATACTATCCGATCCGAGTAGTCAGCATATTAAGGAAGCCCTCAGAGTAATCAAGAGAAACAAGCCTCGAGTCCCTCGACGAGTACACGCAACTTGCACCCCATACCGCCCCCCTCTTCTCCACCTCCCCCCGCACCCTACAACCCCCCCCACCCCACCACCCCCCTGTGCTGCAACTTTCTGCCACTCAGTCAACCATCCGATCCACCAGCAACCCGGAGTCTCAGACCCAGCAGCACCCCCTTCAACCACTCTGGTGGCTCCCTGTCCTGACTTAACCCTGTCACCTTCAACCCGCAATCTCCTCCCGCTCAGAAAAGGAGGCGGCCCGTTTACCGAGTGTGACTATACCTCGTTGGGGTGTGACTATACCTCGTTGGGGTGTGACTATACCTCGTTGGGGTGTGACTATACCTCGTTGGGGTGTGACTATACCTCGTTGGGGTGTGACTGGATCACATTGAGCATGTACTGCGCATGGCCCTTCTCCAGGTGCCGCCTTGCCCCCCCCACCATGCCCATGCGGTCAGCAGGCAGGAACGAGGCCGCTGCTGCTGCTGATGATGATGGTGCTGATGCTGACTGCTGCTGCTCGTCCTCCCCCAATAGGCCCTGGGGGTGGGAAGATGGATGGATGGAAGGACGGACGGACGGACGAACCCATGGTTGCATGAATTGATGGTCGAACACACACATGCAAAGCCAAAAACGCTTAGCCCAGAGCAAAACCCAAGAATGCTTTTCTACCAACCAAACCCACTCCCCCCCCCAGCCACCACCCCACCTCACCTGCACCAGCTGCCATCCGCTCCTCGCGCCCCCACTAGTCTCTCACGCCTCACCTCATTCGAGGCACCTCAAACCCCACATCCCCCCCCCCCTCCTCCTACCTTGTCACCACCCCAGCCTCACCTGCACCAGCTGCCAGATCTGCCGCGTGCCCACCGATTGCTGCTCCTCGCCCCTCGCCTCCCCCCCTGCTGCACGCTCATATGCCGCCCCCATGGCAGTCGCAACCTGCGAGGTGGGAGGGGGGCGTGAGCATGAGGAATGAGGCATGAGGCAAGGGAGAAAAATGGGCAGTCGGATGGGGAAGGAAGAGAGTGGAGGAGGAGGCAAGAATTGGATGGTTCTGTGCTTTGCCTTCGAACAGGCGGCTCCCATGGCTGTCTGTTGCCACCTGAGGAGCAAAGCCAAAGGGGCGTCGCTGCAGCGGAAAGCACGGTAGGAGGAGAGTGGAGTGACTGACAGGGGGAAGGACGTACGAAAGAAAGATGGGCGAGTGAGGAATGTGGGAGCCAAGAGAGAGGGGGAGGGAAAGTGAGGAGGTGCAGGGCGAGGAAGGCACGAGGAGAGAAGTGGGGATTGAGAGTGTGCGAGGCTGGAATGGGCAGGAAACATGGGGAGATGAGTGGAAGGAGAAGGTTGCTCTGCAGCAGCAAGTGCGTTCAACATCAGGACGAAACCTCCTTGCTCTAACCGTCAGCACCACGCCTTGCTCCGCAGCCGCATTCAGCGCTTGAGTCGACTCATAACTAACCTCAGAACGAAACGCCCTTGCTCTCACCTTCGGCACCACTCACCTTCGGCACCACTCACCTTCGGCACCACTCACCTTCGGCACCACTCACCTTCGGCACCACTCACCTTCGGCACCACTCCCTGCTCTCACCTTCAGCACCACCCCTTGCTCCGCGGCCGCATTCATCTCCCCCACCACCTGCGCATACGCCACCTCCCTCGCCTCCCCCACCCCTCCTGCCCCCGCCCCCCGCCTGTCCCCCCCTGGCGACGCAAACCCCGCAGGAGACGCCGCAGCAGCAGCAGCAGCAGCAGCAGCAGCAGCAGCAGGAGAGAGTGGGGACTGGAAACGAGGCATGAGGGCCTTGACAGGCGTAGCAGCACCACCACCACCAGCACCACCAGAGGAGAAGGAGGAAGGTTGGAGGCGGGTGAGCCCGTGGAGCAGGTCGCGCTTCTCGCGCTGCCAGTCGTCCTGGATGGCTTGAGCCATGAAGGAATCGAAGGAGGCGGTGTTCTCGCGCACTGCTGCCTGCACCGCCATCACCAGACTGGTCTCGTGCACCTGGTGAAGTGTGGTTACAATCATGGGCAACCAGTTTACATGCACCGGGGGAGTGGGTAATGGGAAGACAATTTTTGAGGCGCCTCAAAAATAGTTACATGCCCCAGGGGTGTGGGTAATGTGAAGACAATCATGTGGAGGCAGAGTTCCCGCGCACCGCTACCTGCATGCACCGCCATCACCAGACTCGTCTCGTCTCGTGCACCTGGCAGTGGGCCGTCAAGGGAGGAGCAAGGGAACAGGAACACAGAAAGGGGACGAGAGGATGGTGGGAGGGGCTGGCTCTAGGATGACGGGGTGGGGGCTGCATGCACCGCCATCACCAGACTCCTCTCGTACACCTGGTGGGTTGGGTTGTTAATCCAGGTACAACCATGGGCATCCAGGCACAACCATGGGCATCCGAGTACAACCATGGGCATCCGAGTTACCAGCGAAGGGAAGAAGGAAAAATGTGGGAACGATTATAAAGGGGGTGGGGGGGGAATGGCAGGGAGTGCTGGAGAACAACGGGGAGCGGTGTTAGGAGGACCAAGCGTGAAGTGGAACAATAATGCAGGGGAAGGCGGTACCTGGGTGGGGCAGGCAGTACCTGGGTGAGGTATTCCTCCACGCTAGCTGCGTCCACTGGTAGCACATCCTCAAACGTCGTCTGCCAGGGAGCAATGGCGGAATGGGGAGAGCGGAGGGAGAGAGGGGAGGGGGGGGGGGGTAGAAACAGACGAGGGAGGTAGAACGTCAGCAAACAAGTTCAGGTGAATGCATCAGGTTCGTTGCTTTGCACATGCTCTCTTCACTTTGACATTCAGAGCACTGGGCAGAAATCACATTGCGTCAACACCCGTGGGGACCACCGCAATGCTTTCTTCCACAGCATATCATCCACAGACCGAGCGCGGGACGCGCAACAGCACAATCCTCGTGCCACCCACACACAACTGAGACACTGCCTTCCTACTTACTTTCTCCTGACCATTCCCCAGCACTGCCACCCAAGGCTGGCTATCAATACGGCTCCCGTACCCCAACTGCCTGCACCTAAACACCAAGATACCTAGCAACCTAGAAACCTAACGCCAGCACGCCTCTCACCAAGCGTCCCTCTCAGCTGCACCCGAGCCTCACCTTGAGCTGCACCGAGCCTCACCTTGAGCTGCACGGATCGGAGGTCTTTGGTCAGCTGCTCCGCATTAATGCCCTCGCGCGCCAACAGACTGCCGCGTCAGGGCACGGGTGGGGCATGGGCGGGGCACGGGTTTGGCACCGGGAACCGGGGGGGGGGGGGTGGGGGGGGGGAGGGGGGGGAGAAGAGCGGGTGGGGGTGGGGAGTGGGGGAAAGAGGGGGTAACAGGAGTGAGAGAGGGTGAAGTTTGCTAGATGAGTGCCTATACTACGCACCCCAGCACGCACTCTACCCTTGCCTGTCCAGCAGTCCGCAGTGCCTGCCAAAGCGTCGTCTGGCGCAAGTGCACTCCACAACCACCACATGGCAGCACCGGTGTCCATGAGTCATGACTGACTGACTGCATGCGTGCATCCCGCCTCCACGTGGGCGGACGCGCGCGGACGTGCGCGCCCTCTGTTGAGTCGATACTCCATACTGCCAGCACCCGCTCTAACTTCGCCTGGCAAAGTCCCTCCAAACCCCCCTTCACTCCCCCCTCACCGCGTGGCGGCGCTGCCCTGCGTAGCGGCACCCGGCCGCGACGGGCCAGCAGCCAGCAGTACCTATACGGGCAGCTCCTAATCGACCCTTGAGTCGACTCAAAAGCAGACTGCACTTACCGCGTGGCGGCGTTGGTCTCTGTGACTGCGTCCAGCCGCGACGTGCGCGCCCGTAGCTGCTGCGACAGCACCTCCAGCTGGTCCAGACTCCGCTGCTCGCCGCACCACAGGGGACACACAAGGGCGGGAGAGGGGGAAGATGAGAAAAAGTGGAAAAGGAGTGTCCGCCAGAGGCAGATAGTACGAGCTGCTGCGACAGCACCTCCAGTTGGTCCAGACTCCGCTGCTCGCCGCACCACAGGGGTCGCATGAGCGCGCGGGAGGAAAGAGGGAGGAAAAGGAATGAAGGGGCCAAAGGAGTCCGCGCCAGGCAGAGCGTGTGAGCTGCTGCGACTGCACCTCCAGCTGGCCCAGACTCCGCAGCGGGACCACAGGGGATACAGGGGATACAGGGGATACAGGGGATACAGGGGATACAGGGGATACAGGGGATACAGGGGATACAGGGGATACAGGGGATACAGGGGATACAGGGGATACAGGGGATACAGGGGATACAGGGGATACAGGGGATACAGGGAGCAGGAGAGAGGGAGGATGAGAAGAAGTGGGAAAGCAGAATCAGGCAGAGGCGAAGAGTGTGAGCTGCTGCGGCAGCACCTCCAGCTGGCCCAGACTCCTCTGCTCGCCGCACCGCAGCACCACAGGGGACACATGGGAGCGAGAGGGAGGGAGGATGAGAAATAGAGTGGGAGAGGGAAAGGGATGACGGGGCCAGGCAGAGCGTGTGTGCGAGCTGCTGCGAGCAGGCACCTCAGAGAATCTCAGCGAAGGCTGCTGTTTTACAATCCGCATCTCTGTACCTACCCACACTCCGCAACACGATCAGGATCGCGCAGATTACGACGACTGTAGGTACCTGGATGGGAGGGAATTCGGACTCTGTCGCGGCGAATCGCGAGAGCTGCTGCTGGCTCCTCTGCAGCAGATCCTCCCATCCCCTGCCGCCCTCCATTCTGCCTCCCACGCCTCCCACGCCTTCCGCGCCTTCCGCGCTTCTCTCGCTCTACACTGTCGCCAGGCGAGAGACGGCAGACGCTTATTCGGAAACGAGAGAAAAGAGGGATCTGTGCTTCAAATCGACGGTTCTGTTACGATTGGGACGCTGCGCGCGCAACGAACGCGGTTAGCAAAGGTGAGATAATGGTACGCGGCCGAGGGCTTAGGGGACGGCAATGGCGAACAAGGTGCGCTGGGCGAATGCTGCGAAAGGAATTAGAAGTTACAGCGGTCGACGAAAGAAACGACGGCTGTAGACGGCGAGAATGGCGGAAACGGCAATACTGTATCTACTCAGCCGGCGCGCTTATGCAGGGTATGCCGCGCGGCCCCCGGAGCTGTGGACTGTCTAGGGCGCAGCGGACCGCCGCGAATATGCACGAGTACCTAGGGAAAGGAGGAAGGGGAAGGAATCGGATCGGACTGGTCATGGCGGGCTGGGCTTGCTTGGATCTGACAGGGAGGCTCCGGGCTGATCAACATTTGAACTCGCCGGAGTGTACACTGTATTGTACAGTTCCATAGAAACAATGTTATCGAAGAGGTTATAAGCAAAAATTATTCATATGAAGTATGGCACCATAAGCAATGCATACACAATACTTGAATTCAAAAACACGTCTTCCTATCCCCCTCCTGCCCTTGAACGATCAGATCTCGTTTAATCTCAATCTCTGTCACTGCTCGCATCTCTCTTGTGCCGAGATCCCCTTTTCTTGTGCCTAAGACTCCTCCGCTCTTTCCGCTTCCGCTCATCACCCGAACTACTACTACTCCCTTCACTCTCACTACTGCTCGCATCCTTTTTCCTCCGCTTCCTCCTCCTCTCCCTCTTCTTCTCACTCTCGCTACTGTCAGAGCTGCTGCCGTCACCCCCTCTCCTGCTCTTCCTCCTCCTTTCCCTCTTGGCCTCCTTGCGTGCCTTCTTCCTCTCCCTCCTCTCCTTCTTCTCTCTCTTCATCTCCTCAATGATCCTCAATGCATCCTCCACACTCCCAATCCCTACTCCCTTCTCCTTCTCCTTCTCCTCCCGCTTCCGGTCTTTCTCCCCCCGCCTCTCCTCCCTCTCTGATCTCCTGTCCCTCTTCTCCCCTCCCCTCTCCTCCTCTTCCTGCCCCACTCCATCATCGCACCTTTCCTCCTCCCTCACACCACCCACATCCCCCTCACGACCAGACCCTTCCCCAATAATCCCACCAGCCAGCCCCCCCTTTTGCTGAGCTGTCATCCACGCCGGCTGAGTCATCGCCAGCCCTCTCCCTCTTCCCCTCAAATCCACAGCAGGCGCATCCATCCCCCTTCTCCCCCCATGCTCCTCTCTCCCCCCATCCCCCCCTCTACCCCCAAACTCCCCTCTCCCCCCACCCCCAGGCCCCAGCAATCCACCCCCACCACCAGCACCACCACCCCCACCACCCCTCCCAGCACCTCTCCCACCGCCCCCCCATCCCCCACCGCCCTCCACCCCTGTCCTCTCCTCCCCGGCGTCATCCGCCAGGAGCTCGTAGCTCGAACCCAAGGGGCCGTAGCACTCCGTCTTTAAGTGCCCCTGCCCGCCGCACCGCGTGCACGTCACGTTTAAGACCGCTTCTAGCTCCAGTTTCACTGGGGCGCGCCACTTGCTCCCGCCGCCCCCCCCGCCTCCTATCCGTTGATTGCTGGGGTCGCGATCTGCACCATCCGTTTGCGAAACCACCTTCATCGAGCACCCGATCCGGACGTTTGCCGAGCCTGGGAGGCCTGGGGTGGTGTCGATGACGTCAGCGCCGGTTTCGTCTTTAAGACTGATTACCTTGACCCAGACCTGCTCGCCCTCGGCCGCCACGCCTTTAAGAGCCTCCACTTTAGCGTCGTCGGTGTCGTCCCGCTTAGCTACCTGCGGGTATGGGAGTTTGGTGTTTATGCAGGAGAGAACAGCGTTACGGATTGGAGGCAGGGGGGAGAGGCGAGAAAGAATATCCCCACAAACTCGAAGAGATTGTCGTACGCACGTCGCAGTCGCACACGCACCTCGCAGTCGCACACGCACCTCGCAGTCGCACACGCACCTCGCAGTCGCACACGAACCTCGCAGTCGCACACGCACCTCGCAGTCGCACACGCACCTCGCAGTCGCACACGCACCTCGCAGTCGCACACGCACCTCGCAGTTGCACACGCACCTCGTAGTCGGACACGCACCTCGCAGTCGCACACGCACCTCGCAGTCGCACACGAACCTCGCAGTCGCACACGCACCTCGCAGTCGCACACGCACCTCGCAGTCGCACACGCACCTCGTAGTCGGACACGTGCGACAGGTGCACGAGCCCGTGCTTGCGATACCCCTCCAGTCGCACGAACATGCCGAACGCGCGGATCGAGTGCACCGTCGCACGGTGAATCGAGTACAGCGCCGGTACCGCATCCGACCCCTCTCTATCCTGTCGCTCCCGACGCTCCCCGCCGTCGCGCCGTCCCGCCCCCCTCCCCCCCGCCTGACCCCTTCCCCTGTCCCCCTCCGCGTCCCGCCCCCTGTAGTCTTCTCTCCCCCTGTCCCTCTCCCTCCCCCTGTCCCTGTCCCCGTACCCCTGCCCGCGCTCCCGCCCTTCTTCTCTCCACACCCCGTCTTCCCCCCAGCCCCCGCCGTTCCCCCGGCCATCACTCCCCCGCTCCCCCCGCCTATCGCCCCCCCGCTCCCCTCGCCCATCGCCACGCCCAGCCCTGTCGTCGCGGCTTTCCCCGCCGTCGCGCTTCTCCGGCCCCCATCTACTCGCGCGGGCGTGCCCGCTCTCGTCTCTGCGCGGCGGGCGCGCGGACACTGAGTCTAAGCCGCCGAACCCGCCAGCGTCCCGGTCATCCCAATCGTCAGCGTCCATTTGCGGAGATCAGTTGCTTGGGGGATTGGTTGGGGGAGGGGAATTGACCAAGATCGGCTGTGAGACTGACTGGTGGGGGTCGGCTGCTTTTCCAGCACCTGAAACAAAAAATATCTTACACGAAAAAATCCTCCCGTTCCCGCTTTCAGGCAGCTCGTTATGCGGAAATTGGAGTCATCCGTCCTGCACCCCCACCCTCTCTGCATACATTGTACAGTATAATCCGCTTTCTCTTTAGTTCAAACAATAAAAGATATTGTACGTAAGAAGCATATAAACGCAATATACAAGTGAAAGCCAACTCAAGGTAAACAAGCATTGGAGCAGCAGCCATCAAAGCATAACGCAATCTGCTCAAACAAGTCGCAATAAATTCTTTTTTCTAAAACTCCTAACGATCCAGTCAGGCCCCGTTCTTCTCATCAGCTGCTTGTGGGCCCATGGTTGCTGGAACACCATCCACACTACCATGCCCCCTTCCAACAGCAGCAGCTGCATCTCCAACCCTCTTCAAAACCTCTTCATTAGCCCATAACGTATAGTCGCTTACCAGCCCATTGAGCAGGCTCGCCTGCATTACCCCTAGCACGCTGTCCATAATAGCATTGCCTACCGCCTCAACCGCCGGCCTGGGAATCAGAGAGAGCGGCATGGGCAGGCGCGCCGCAAAGCCCAGCTGCACCGAACCTCCCAGCAGGCAGTCCGCGGGGAGAGAGGCAGAGGCGGAGGATCCAGACGAGGGGGCGGAGGAGGGGGGGGAGGAGTAGGGGGCAGGAGATGCGGAGTGGGAGGGCGTGAGCTGGCCGTCAAGGGAGAGGCGGAAGGGGATTTCTTGCATGGCGGCGGGCGCGCCGATGAAATCTAGCTGCAGCTGATTGGAGAAGAGACGCAGGGATGTGCCGTCGTGGTACACTCTGGGGGGAGGCGGGGGGGAGAGAAGGGAAGATGGGAGAGTGAGGGGGTGGGGATAAGAGGGAGACGTGGCAGCGGGCGTGCTGTGCGACTCGAGCTGCAGGGATGTGCCGTCGTGGTACACTCTGGGGGGAGCGAGGGAGGCCGGGAGGGGGAGGGTGGGGGAGGAGGAGAAGGGGAGAGGGAAGTGTGAGGGGGTGGGGGGGATTAAGAGCTGCAGCTGGTTGGAGAAGTGGCGCAGGGATGTGCCTGGTACACTCTGGGGGGAAAGGGAAGGGAAGAAAGGAGCGAGGGGGTGGGGATGAGAGGGATACGTGGAGGGGGTTGCGCGTTGACATGTGAGCTGCAGCCGCTTGGAGAAGAGCACGACGCCGTTAACTGAGATTAATGAGTTGAGTGCGATTCATGAGTTTAATGAATTTTGTTGAGGTCGTAGCCACAATACAGCGTAACAAGGAGGCAGAAGAGTGCGACGTCGTGGTACAGCCTGGGGGGGAGAGGGCGGGAAGAGCGGAAGAGGAGCGAGTGAGGGGTTGGTTTTTTGAACAGTCGAGAATAGCGCTGGTAATAGAGGAAGGTGAAGCCCGGAAGTATGACACCGCTTCAACATTCTTTCCTCCCAAGGCAAAGCGTTTTCGTACTGCAGGACTTCACCTTCATTCTTCGCTAACGATTCTTCCTACTGTTGCAGCATCATGCCCTCGCTCTGCGACCACTCCCTCCAGGTTCTTCTCTGGTGCTTGAATCATTCATTGCTCACTGTCGTTCGTCAGTCTCATGGCCGATGGTTTCCGGAAACCCGTACCTCCCTTCCCTTCCCTTCCCTTCCCTTCCCTTCCAGCACCGGACACACCACCTTCCTGCTGGTCCATCGCAGCCACTGCCGCCCCTCGTTCTCCGCCAGATCAGCCGCACTCGCACAAGCAACCAGACGATACTACCTACGCAGCACGCGGGAGGGCGTCACGGGGCGCACCTTAAGAGGCAGATGGGAGTGGCGCTGATGCTGAAGAACGTCACGGGCCGCATCAGCACCCGCCATAGGTCTTCATCCACGCGCGCCAGCCGCTTAGAGTCCGGAAACACCACCCGCACGATCCTCTCCGTCTCGTCCGCCAAATACTCGTCCACGCTCACCACCTGTCCGTCACCGGCACCGCTGCCGGCAGGCCTGACGGCTGGCCATTCCGTGGCTGGCACGCGAATTTGCGGGCACGGTATAGACACGGAGCGTTCGGCGGCGAATTGAACCCACCCAGGTTCCGGCTCACGCCGCTGCTGCTGCGTTCTAAGTGGCTGTTGCTCCTGCTCCCGGGTCGCACTACCCCGCACCAAGCGAAGCTGCGACTTGGTCGTCGTCGCTTGGCCGCCATACCGCTTCCCCGAGTCGCTGAACGACAGCCGCCATGCCTTGAAGGCGGAGCCCGCGCTTGATCGTGCGACAAAAGCGGCGGTAGGGGGAGGGGAGAATGCGCGGGGGGGGTGGCAGGGGAGAGAGGAGAGCGCAAGGTCGCAGGGATTGATGACGGTACGGGTCAGCATGATGGCGGAAATGCTGCGATGGACGGGAGACGATGAAGAAAGAGGGAGAATATCGAGACGAGAGAGCGGTGAGAAATGCTGTCGCAAGCCACAACTGGAAATGGTACCAGCAGTAGCAGCAACTCACTGCCCTGTGCTCAATGCTCTGGATGCGGGGGAACACGGCGTTGCCAGGATTCTGTACTGCAGCAGACTGAGGGGGGTGCGGCTGGAAGATGAGCCTGCTTGGTTCCCCCTACGTGAGGGAACTGCCTAGGGGAATCCGCGGACTGCCGGGCCTGAGGCTTGGGAAATCCGTTCGGTACCGAGTATGCCGAGGGTACAAAACGGTTCAAAAGAGAACGATTTGAAAGTCGAACAAAGGCTCGGCGGGCTAGGCCATATCAGGGAGACTAACCACTTCCGTTCGGTGTTGTTTGGGTGACTTGCCACACCACAAACCGACCGAACTAGGCCTTTCGGTACGGAACAACAGGTATGGCATGCAGGCATTTGCTACAACGCCGAAGCGCCAGGAATGTACTGTAGTACAGTCACTACAGTCCAGTACACACAGTGGCGTACACGAGGTAGACATCTGTGCCTGATAGCCTAGCCACGGAAAAGGAGCCTCGCTTCCCGCCCCAGGAGAGAGTCTCATTGGGTCCTTCCCATACTGCATCGCAGACCTAACCAGATGCACATCACAAAATAATATAACTTATTTCATATCTTCAACTAAAAATAATATCTTCTTAGAGTTAGAATTATGTAGTAGAAAGAGAGTATACAGGGGTATATAGCTAATGGGTTGTACTCTCTATGATATGAACCTATGTAGTGTACTAAAAATACACACATATGTTTGACACACCCCCTAAACTACATAGGCGCAGAGCCTCGTGAGTACAAGCGGCTCAGGGCGGTACTACTAGTCCAACCTCTGAGGCAGGGGTCTAAAGACCAGTCAATAGACTACAAACGAGGCAAGTACAAGACCAGTGCGGCACTACTAGTCCAGCCACTGGGAGAAGCCACAAGGCCAGTCAGGATAATATATAAAGACTAATACACAATCAATATCGTAGCAAATGAGATGCTACAGGAACGAGACCAAGCTGTACGCAGAATCGCTGATTATCTTTAGGCGCAAGCGCTTTCGTAAATATATCTTTTGTGTTGGCACCGGAGGTCAAGTGTACTACGCGGGCCTAACGACGCTGCTGTAGCTCGCGCAGGAGGAAGTAAAGCAGCTGGATCTGCTTCGCTCTGCCCTCGAGTCTGGGCTCCTGACACAAGAGGATCATGGCCATATTGTCACGGTACAAGACCGGGGCTGAGCTAGGCCGCTCACCTAAGTCAGTGAGCAAAAAATCAGCCAGCGGAGCTCCTGTGCCACCATGGCCACCGGCGCCAATCCCAGCCTCACAGCTAGACTAGGCAACAAACGAGGAGCGAGTGGACCTCCACGAAAGGGCACCTGAACCGAGGCTAAAGCAGTAGCCCTGGGAGGACCTAAGGGTCACGACGTCGTCTGCCCAAGAAGCGTCTGTGTGCCCAATAACGACCACTGGTCTACGTCCTCCTAGCACTGGCCCCATGCCCGATGTACTTGATAGATAACGCAAAACCCTCTTAGCTGCAGACTAATGCTGTGGTCGATGTCTGCTGGAGGCCACAAAGCGGGCCAGGATGCTGAGAGGGTATGAGAGATCTGGATGAGTGCAAGTCATCAGGTACATGAGGCAACCCAACGGCTCTGCTAAGGACCACTAGGCTCTACAACCTCCTCTGGGACTGGAGCAGAGGGTCTGTAGTCTACTGGGAGAGGGGTGGGCTGTGTGGAAGAGAACTGAAGGACGAACCTCTGAAGGATCTGGCATACCAAGTGTGACTATGAGAGAGTGGTGGTGCACACTGCTCTGTCCCTGGAGATCTGCAAGCCAGGGTAGCGGCGCAGCTCTCCTAGGTCAATGAACGTGTGCCTCCTTAGCGACTCGGCCTTCACGGAGGGCAGCACATCTCTATCTACTGTAGCAAAGACCAGATCGTCTCTGTAAACAATGATGTAAAACGGAGTCTAGCCGAAATAGACGAAGAGCGAGGGGTCTGCAAACGACGGGAAGAACTGCAAGTTAGCAAGTGTAGCGCGCGGCGTGTCGTACCACTCACGGGGCGCCTGGAGCAAGCCGTAGACGGGGCACCGGAGGAGCCACCCGGTACTAGGAAGAAAGGTACCGGAGAAGCCCTGGGGGTAGTGCAGGTAGACCTGCTCGTGTAGACTGCCCTGGAAGAAAGCTGTGGAGAAGTCGAGTAAGTGCAGTTCGTAGTCACGCTGTGTTGCTACGTATAGTAATGCTCGAAGAGTAGTCATCTTCGGGGTCACGGCGAAGGTCTGAAAGAAGTCAACACCCTCACGCTGGCTGAAGCCACGAGCAATGTAGCGCGCCTTAAACACAGGCGGCTCTCCAGGAGGGCGCTTCACCTTGAAGAGCCATCGGCCATCGACTACGTTCACCCCAGGTGGGGGAACTACGTTCCCGAAAGTACCGGTGGATCTCCAAGATGCCATCTCTTGCTCCATGGCAGCTATCCACTGAGAGGCCCAGGGTCCCGAGATGGCTTTAGCGTAGGTGCGAGGGGTCAGGATGTCCAAGGCGTCTGGGTCACCCTCAGGGACTAGTAGCATGGAACAGAGATGGGGAGCGGCCTCTGACACGAAAGCGAGCTCGTACTGTCTGTTCTCTAAGATGTCACTGCCAAGGGCAGCCACACCCCCGACGATCGGAAGGCAGGCATAGTCAGAGACCAGAGCGATGGCGTAGTCAAGGCGGCGGGAAGCGACGAAGTCAGTGACAATAGCAACAAGACCCGACAGACCGGAGACAGGAACGGATGGGTCGGTAACAATAGAGGCAAGGACACGAGGAACAAGGAGACGCGTGTCACGGAGGAAGTCAGAAAACGGGGGCGGGGCCACAGCGAGCGACGATGGAGGAGGAGACGGGAGGAGAGGAGGAGCACGAGATGCGTAAGAGTAAAGCAACATAGGGTGAGAACGCGCAACAGGGAGACCTAAGACAGCATCGTATTGAGACATGTGACGGAGACGTGTGAGGGCGGGTCGACCTAGTCGGTGGTGCCACAGAAGCGACGGGTGAGTAAGCGACCTACACGAGCAAGCCGCAATAACATGGGTAGACGCTCCCACCTAGGGGGGCGTCCCAATCGGGGGGGGGGGCACGGTGTCCAGTGTGAACAGGCCAGACACTGGGTCCCAGGGGAACGTGGTGAGGGGGGAACCAGTGGCGGCCTCGGTACAGACAGCGTACCTCTCATGACCAGGGAACGTAGTGGTGACCCCAAGGTCCTGAAGACAGCCAACTCCAATTAGGTTCTAAGAGAAAGAGGGGATGTGCAGGCCTGTAAGAGAGCCCGAAGGAACTGCCAGACAGGGGAGAGTGGTGGAACGACGGGCAACTACTGGACTTGAGGAAGGGTCTGCAAGGGTAACTGCGGCAAGGATGGCAAGCGGTGTAAGCATAGTGTGGTCCCGAAAGAAACACCGAGACGTGTCAGAGTCGAGAGTGATGGAGAGCGCAGCAGTCGCAGTTGGGGGCGGAGGAGCTAGGGTGGAGCCAAGGCTAAACAAAGCAAAGGGTCCTACGCCTAACGCAACAGGGGAGCCAAAACTAGGCACACTGGACACACCTAGACTAGGCAACACGGGGTAATAGGAACCATACAACACATACAATACAGAGCTAATATGAGCAGAATGTGCCAATTCAGAAGGTCCGGCGCGGGGCCGAAGCGGAGACGAAACAGGTCGTCCAGGCGACTGAAACAGCGAGTAGGGGTATGACCGGTCTTACCGCACACAAGGCGGCGGCGAGGACCAGTCTGAAGCTGGTACTGGCAGCGCCTGTCATTCGCACCACCACCCGACGACGAGCTACAGTACGTGCACGGCAACCACCACCACTAGCGCCAGGCCACCCAGGCGGGAGGAGGCTGCTGCTACTGCAAGTCAAGCTGTGGCGCGTGCTGCTGCTCCCTCGATGGTACTACCGCCAGCAGATGAACCACCTCCGCCACCACCTCCACCCCCTCCTCCACTACCACCGCCGCGCCCAGCCTTGGGGCGGCGGGCCTTACCATAACGGGACTGCACTGCAGCCACCGCGGCAGCGGTCTCAGCAGCAGGGGCTATCTCAGCGACAGCCGCAAAACCATCAAAGAAAGTGCACTGAGCGGGAGCACAACCCTGAAAGATAGGGACCGGCGCAGTACCGCTAGGCTGGGGATTAGAGCGCTGACGGGTCTCTATGGCAGACAGGGTGTTGACAAAGTCAGAGAGGGTAAGGTCAGCAGAGCGCAGACCAAGAAAGTGGCCGCGGGCAGTGGCAAGGCGGTCGGGGAGGCGGGTGGCAAGCAGGTAAAGGGTAGAGCAGAGAGGGGGCTAGAACGCACGAAGCTGGGCCTCAGTGCAGGCAGCGCGCCAGCTAGCGTCGAGCGTGCGCAGGTGCATGGCCAGGTCAGCAACAGTGGAGAAAGACACGAGATTAGGGAAGAGCATGGGAAGGATCAGGTGGCTGGCAGAGGCAGAGGACGGGGTGGAATAATGCTCGACAACAGCCTCTAGGAACTCCTGGGCAGTCCCGACTGACTTTAAGCAGGGGTGCTCAGACAGGGGGAGGGCATGGCTAATCGCGAGCTGAGCAACAGCGTCACGCGACAGCCAGACAGCACGGGCAAGGGCAGCAGCGGCGGCGGACTCACTGTCAGCAGACGTGGGGTCAGAGGGGAGAGCAACAGGGGGGTCAGGGCAGGGGAGCGTACCGTCAATGTGGACGGCTAGGGAGTGGCCGTCCTGCTGCTAACCAGTGAGGTGACGGCGGAGGTTGACGAGCCATGAGTCGAACTCAACCGGCTGACCCCCCGCGTCAATGCGCAGCACCGAGTCCGTCATTAAGGCCGCTGTAGCAGCGAACAGGCGGTGAAGGGCGGGACGGAGTGACGAGGAGCAATGGGGAGGAGTGCTGTATGGTGTAGTGCGGTGAAGTGTGGAGGGGCGCTGTGCATTGCAGTGCCACGCGGTGCAGAGCGGTGCAGTGCGGTGGGTCGCAGTGCAGTGTAGTGGGGCGCAGTGCAGTGCGGTGCTGAGCGGTGCAGCACGGTGGGGCACGGTGCAGGACGGTGGAGAGGGCAGGTTAAGTGGGTGGGGACGGGGAAACATGGCGGCTGATTAGCTGGGAGACGGGGCCGCGGGGCGGCTGGGCGACGGGGCCGCGGAGCAGCGGAGCGACAGGTTGCGGGGCGGCTGGGCGACGGGGCCGCGAAGCAGCGGGGCAGCTGGGTGACGGGGCTGCGGAGCAGCGGGGCGACCGGGCCACAATGCGGCTGGGCGACCGGGCCGCGGAGCAGCGTGGCGACGAGGCTAGGGGCAGTTGGACGACGAGGCCGTTGGGCGGCTAGGCGACGGGGCCATGGGGCGGCTAGGCGACGGGGCGGCTAGGCCACGGGGCGGTTAGGCGACGGGGCGGCAGGGCGGCTACGCTAGGGGCGATGCGGCCGCGGGGCCAGCAGGACGGCTAGGCGCAGGTGACGGGGCTGCGAGGCCAGCGGTGCGGCTAGTATCAGAGTAGAAGAATGAATTAAAAGAGAGAGAACATGTGAATATACCTAAGAGTTGTACCCTATATAATGTTGTGTGATGTCATCATATGCTATCACATTCTGTCTGCCTCCCATCCCATGTTTTCAACCCATATGTATGGTTTGACTGTGTGTGAAAGAATTTGTGTGTGGTGTGTTCTGGAGTTTGGGAATGTGTTCTGTGTTATTTTTTGTTTGAGCAGGTTCTTGTGATGATAGATCTTGAGAAGATCTTTCCGACGCAACAAGAATCGCTTCAATCGGAGCAAGAACGTGAAAGCTATGAAGATTCAAAGTTCATGAGCTTGCGTTACAATTGCGGCGGTTACAAAGTGAAGTTGTGGGGTAACTTTATATGGAGTTGGGACCTTTGGGGTTGGGGAAATTCGTCACTCTACTGTAGCAGCTGCAAAATTGGTTGGGAACCACCAAGCTAGGTTGGCAAGGGTGGTCAACTTGGTTGGATTGGTTGGGAAAGGACAAATGTCAAAGTTGGGGTTCCTATAGGGAGGGAATCTTTGTGCTTATGGGGTTTCTTTGGTTGGGGACTCTTTTGGGACCTTCCCTCTCATCCCTCTCTTCTATCCCAACCTTTCTCTTGCTCCTCTAATTCCTTGTGAGATTCTTGAACTTTGATTGAACTCTTGAGATTGAGTTAAGTTCTCCTCCTACAGCTTATCCCCTAATGCGTCGAAAGCCATAACGTCGCGAATACTTCATCAATCAACATGATTCAAATTGGGAACGGTAGCTGAGATTAAGAGCTACAACATATCCAAGTTTCGCGACATTCCAACGGCTAGTTTTCTGTCGACGTCGTTTCTTGTGAAGACGACTTTTCTTTCCAGAATTTCGGATTTATATTTTGAGTAATTCTAGCTCCTAAGTTCACCTAGACTCCGTCCTTAATCCTAACAAGTGGTATCAGAGCCATATTAAGGACATTGAGAGGAGTCTACAGAAGTGTGAAGACCCTTCTAGACCCACCATGGCCTGTGGGTGTGCCTAAGTGGTGTTCTAAAGGTTGGATGTGTCTTCCGCTAAGGGGAAACTCTGCCGAAATTTTGTGGACGCCGACACTTGTGAAAATATCGAGGGAGCTGAGTGTGGACAGCAAAGGGGAGCTGAAATTCGTCATTTCTCAAGGAGAAGATGAATGAGAGAGGAGGAGATGCTAATGGAAGAGGAGCTGTAGCTGAGAAGACAAGTGAGCCGCCGCCATCAAAAGTTGAAGCTTTGGATGGCTCCAACTATGAGGAATGGAGCGGACGGATGAGGAGTGCCTTCAAACGCTACAAGCTACTGAAGATTGCTGTTTGGGAAGAGAAGATGCCGGAAGAAGGCGAAGCACGTGAACGGTGGATTGAGAAAAGCGCGGTGCTTTTCGACCTCATCCTTCAATCGGTCAACAAAGAGATGTTCGAGCACATCAAGGATCTTGTGGAAGCGGATGATTCGGGTCCAAGGGCGTGGAAACTACTACGCGATGTGATTCAGCCCAACACTCTCCCGATGGTGATTGTGCTCGAGAAGGAACTTGCTGCCATCTCCATGCGACCAGGGGACGATGTGAAGCCGGTCCTTGACAAGATCAAGGACACCTATGCAAGGATGGCAGCAGCGGGCAGCAGTGTATCTCAGCTGCAGCAGTGCACCAAGATCATCTCGGTGTTGGACAACTCTTGGGACAACCTCATCCCCACCCTCAACTCTCAGCAAGATCAATGGACATCTGAGTGGCTAAGGCAGCAGATTCTGCAGGAGGACTTCCGCAGACGCCATGTGGGAGGCGGTGCTGCCACTAAGACTGCTGAGGGGTATGGAGCTGCAGGGCGCGGCAGAGGAAGAGGGGGTTGGAGAGGCCGAGGCCGTGGGAGAAGCTTTGGCAGAGGTAGAGGCCGAGGTGACTATAATGAGGGGCATGGGAGCTCCAGTGGCAGGGGGAGTACCAGAATGGAGGGCACCTGCTGGTACTGCAAGAAGATAGGGCATCCTTGGTTCAAGTGCTTCAGCAGGCCGGAGGGATGGTCACCTCCAGGCATGAAGCCGCCAAGTGGTGAACGCGCACAAGGTGGCGCTGTGCAAGGCTCAGGTGCACAAGGTGAAGGTGCACAAGGTAACGCCTATCCTGGGATGTATCTCATGGTTGAGGATGTGCATGGGCATGAGGGTGATGTGGGATCTGTCGGAAAGGTTGTGATGCACCCTCTCACGCACTGGGTGATTGATTCGGGTTGCACCAGTCACATGACTCCACGGGCAGATTTGCTTGATGAGATAAAACCCCCTGGGAAGATTAAGTATGTGGCAGCAGCGTCAGGTGCTTTGCTCCCCGTGATTGGTGTTGGAAATGCCAAGGTTAAGGGAGCTAATGGGGAGCTTGTGGGGCTTGGGAATGTTCTGCTGGTTGAAGGCTTGTCTGCTAACCTTCTCTCTGTGCGACGACTGCAGAAGAGCAAGGCCGAAGTGACCTTTGGACCAACCAGCTGCCGTGCTAAGCTTGGGAAGAAGGTGCTGTGGAGTCTGGAAGAGGAGACCAGCTGCATCAAGGACCTGTGGCAGCTGCCCATCATCCCTTGGAATGGGAAGACTCCAACAGCAGCAACGGCAGCAGCGGCAAAGGCAACAGCAGGAGGAGATGCAACTGCACCAACTGATGGGGTCCTGGAAGCAGTCAAGAAAGTGCAGCAGCAGCAGACACATGGTGAGGTGCTTGCTGGTGTGGATGCGAGTGCGGCATGGGCTAAGGCTTCATCAAGGAGTGGAGAGGCCGATTGGGAGACATGGCATGAGAGGCTGTGTCATGTGAACTTCCCTATGCTACAGAAGTTGGTGAAGGATGGGAGCCTGAAGGGCTTGGAGGTGAAAGGGGGAGTGAAGGAGATTGGGAGCTGCCCTACATGCTTGGAGACCAAGTTCTCCAAGTTCCCCTTCAACACTGCAACAGGACTAGCCAAGACCCCACATGCACTTGTGCACATGGATATGGTGGGGCCCACAGGAGCCCCTTCCCTCTCAGGCAGCCGCTATTTCTTGACTATTGTGGATGACCACACTCGGGCAGTATGGGTTTACCCTTTGAAGAGCAAAGAGGAGTTGGTAGCGGCTGTCCTTAAGGAGTGGATGCCTAGAGCTCAGAGGGAATGCGGACACAAGGTGAAGGTGATCCGCAGTGACAATGGTGGGGAGTTCATTGGAGCTGATTTTGAGGGGGAGTTGAAGAGGAAGGGGATCCAGCATCAACTGACAGTGCCCTACAACCCGCAGCAGAATGGCGTGGCTGAGAGGTTCAACAGGACCCTGCAGGAGGGGGCACGCACTCTCCTTGGGCGTGCAGGGCTGCCTGATCCGTTTTGGGTGTCTACACTGAGGCAAGTCGCCCTTGTGAAGAACAGGGTGCTGGCTACAGTTGGGGATAAGAAGTGGATCCCGTATACCAAGTGGTATGGGAGTGTTCCAGCTGTGAACATGCTGAGGGCATTTGGGTGCATGGTGGTATTTCATGTGCCTAAGGAGAAAAGGGGCAAGTTGGAGGCTTCTAGAAGATGGGGTGTGCTTTTGGGGATTGCAAAGGATCACAAGGGATCACAAGGGGTGGCTGCTGTGGGACTTGACCACCCAGAAGCTGATTGTGTCAAGGGATGTGAAGTTTCTTGAGTCCCTGTACTACAAGGAATGGAAGCAGCAGCAACAGAAGCTTCCATCTACACCACTCATTGTGGAGGCAGATGAGGTGCAACAGCCTTCAAGACAGGTGGAGGTTGCAGTGTCTGAGGAGGAGATGTCTGGGGTGACTGAGGTAGGGGGAGCCGCTGAAGTGGAGCAGCAGCAACAGCAGCAGCAGCAGCATGAGTCTCCACCTCGAGTTCCACACCCGCCAGAGCGACCTAGGAGGGATGTGCGCCCTCCGGTGAGGCTGACCTATGGGGGAAGAGGCAAGCCGAATGTGGTGCAGGCTGGGAGTGTGGTTGAGCAGATTGAGATTGATGAGATTGCATTGTGCTATCAGGCTGGAATTCCTCAGCCTAATGTACTAATGCTAGCTTCAACTCAGTGAAAGTGGATGGCACCAGCATTGGGGGTTATGTGTGCTTGCTAGGAGGTGGTGCTGTGAGCTGGCGCAACAAGAAGCAGAATGAGGTGGGATTGTCCTCATGTGAGACTGAGTACATGGCCTTATACCATGGGGCCAAGGAAGTGGTGTGGCTCAGGCGCTTGTTGGAGGAGTTGGGAGTTGGTCAGAAGGAGCCGACGGTGATCTTCTGTGACAATGAGTCTGCAGTGAAGCTGGCCAAGAATGCTTGTCTACATGGGCTGACAAAACACATAAGGCCTAAATGGCATTGGGTGAGGAGACTCCTTGATAAGGAGGTGTAGTAGGAGATAGTGAAGACCCATCAGCAGGCAGCAGATATTTTCACTAAGCGTCTGGCGGATGCGGGTAATTGGAAGGGCATGAAGCTTGCTTGGATGAGTGTGCATTGAGTATGCATGCTTGAGATGTGGCATGATGGATGATGGTTGGCAGCCAGAGGGGGAGATTGTTGTGTGATGTCATCATATGCTATCACATTCTGTCTGCCTCCCATTCCATGTTTTCAACCCATATGTATGGTTTGACTGTGTGTGAAAGAATTTGTGTGTGGTGTGTTCTGGAGTTTGGGAATGTGTTCTGTGTTATTTTTTGTTTGAGCAGGTTCTTGTGATGATAGATCTTGAGAAGATCTTTCCGACGCAACAAGAATCGCTTCAATCGGAGCAAGAACGTGAAAGCTATGAAGATTCAAAGTTCATGAGCTTGCGTTACAATTGCGGCGGTTACAAAGTGAAGTTGTGGGGTAACTTTATATGGAGTTGGGACCTTTGGGGTTGGGGAAATTCGTCACTCTACTGTAGCAGCTGCAAAATTGGTTGGGAACCACCAAGCTAGGTTGGCAAGGGTGGTCAACTTGGTTGGATTGGTTGGGAAAGGACAAATGTCAAAGTTGGGGTTCCTATAGGGAGGGAATCTTTGTGCTTATGGGGTTTCTTTGGTTGGGGACTCTTTTGGGACCTTCCCTCTCATCCCTCTCTTCTATCCCAACCTTTCTCTTGCTCCTCTAATTCCTTGTGAGATTCTTGAACTTTGATTGAACTCTTGAGATTGAGTTAAGTTCTCCTCCTACAGCTTATCCCCTAATGCGTCGAAAGCCATAACGTCGCGAATACTTCATCAATCAACATGATTCAAATTGGGAACGGTAGCTGAGATTAAGAGCTACAACATATCCAAGTTTCGCGACATTCCAACGGCAAGTTTTCCGTCGACGTCGTTTCTTGTGAAGACGACTTTTCTTTCCAGAATTTCGGATTTATATTTTGAGTAATTCTAGCTCCTAAGTTCACCTAGACTCCGTCCTTAATCCTAACATATAAGACATGACTTTCTTCAGTCTATGCAAACATAGTAGATATACATGTTTGACACACCCCCTAGACTGCATAGGGGCAGGTCATGACAAAACAGCTCAGGGTGGCACTACTAATCCAGCCTCTGAGAAAAGGGTCTAAAAGACTAGTCAGAAGGAGTACAGACAAGGCATGAACAAGTACAGGGCGGCACTACTAGTCCAACCACTGTGAGAGGACACAAGTCCAGTCTGAGTGTACATATATATAGGACAGTACAAAGTCAAGGCCCTAGCAAGTGAGAGACTACAGGAACTAGACCAAGCTGTACACAGTGCCGCTGATGATCTTTAGGCGCAAGTGCCTTCGTAAAGATATCAGCTGTGTTGGCACCTGAGGCCAAGTGTACTACGCGAGCCTGGCGTCGCTGCTGTAGCTCGCGCAGGAGGAAGTACCCCAGCTAGATATGCTTCGCTCTGCCCTCGAGTCGAGGCTCCTGACACAGGAGGATCATGGCCCTGTTGTCAGCGTACAGGACCGGGGCAGAGCTAGGCTGCTCACCTAAGTCAGTGAGCAAGAAGGTCAGCCAGCGGAGCTCCTGTGCCGCCATGGCACCGGCGTAGATCTCAGCCTCACAGCTGGACTGGGCAACAGACGAGGAGCGGGTAGCTCTCCACGAGACAGCACCTGAGCCAAGGCTGAAGCAGTAGCCCTGGGAAGACCTGAGCGTCTCGGCGTCGTCTGCCCAAGAAGCGTCTGTGTGTCCAGTAAGGACCACCGGCCTGCGTCCGCCTAGCACTAACCCCATGCCCGATGTACTTGCAAGATAACGCAGAACCCTCTTAGCAGCATACCAGTGTTGAGGTCGGTGTCTGCCTGTGGCCACAAAGCGCGCCAGGATGCTGAGAGGGTATGCGAGATCTGGGCAAGTGCAAGTCATCAGGTACATGAGGCAACCCACCAGCTCAGCGTAAGGACCACTGGGATCTACCGACTCCTCAGGAACTGGAGCGGAGAGTCTGTGGTCCAGAGGAAGAGGGGTGGGCTGTGCTGAGGAGAACTGAAGGCCGAACCTCTGAAGGACCTGGCGCACCAAGTGTGACTGAGTCAGGGTGATGGTGCGCGCGGCTCTGTCCTTGGAGATCTGCAAACCAAGGTAACGGCGCAGCTCTCCAAGGTCAGTGCAAGTGTGTCTCTTCAGCAGCTCTGCCTTCACGGAGGCCAGTGCGTCCCTGTCTGCAGTGGCGAAGACCAGGTCGTCTACGTTGACAAGGATGTAAAACGGAGTCTGGCCAGCACGAACAAAGAGTGAGGGGTCTGCAGAGGACGGAAAGAACTGCACGTCAGCGAGGGTAGCACGCAACGTGTCGTGCCACTTACGGGGCGCCTGGCGCAGGCCGTAGACTGGGCGCCGCAGAAGCCACTGGGTCCCAGGAGGGAAGGTGCCAGTGAAGCCCTGAGGGCGACAAAGGTAGACCTGCTCGTGTAGGCTGCCCTGAAGGAAGGCAGTGGCGAAGTCGAGGGAGTGAAGCTCGTAGTCACGCTGAGCCGCTACATGTAGCAGAACCCGAAGAGTAGTCATCTTCGGGGTAGGAGCGAAAGTCTGAAAGAAGTCCACCCCCTCGCGCTGACTGAAACCTCTAGCCACGTAGCGCGCCTTGAACACAGGCGGCTCTCCAGGAGGGCGCTTCACCTTGAAGAGCCAGCGGCCATCGACTACGTTCACCCCAGGTGGGGGAATTGCGTCGACGAAGGTGCCGGTGGATCTCCAAGATGCCATCTCCTGCTCCATGGCAGCTATCCACTGAGAGGCCCAGGGTCCCGAAACCGCCACAGCGTAAGTACGAGGGGTCGGGATGTTGAAAGCGTTTGGGTCACCCTAAGGGACTAGCAGCATGGAACAGAGATGGGGAGCAGCCTCGGACAGGAAAGCAAGCTCGAACTGGCGGTCCTCCAGGACGTCACTGCCGAGGGCAGGAGCACCCCCGACAGACGGAGGACAGGCAGGGTCAGAGACCAGAGCGGTGGCGTAGTCAAGGCGGCGGGTAGAGGCGAAGTCAGCGACCGCAGCGACAAGGGCGTCAAGACTCGAAACCGGAACAGACGGGTCGGTAACGAGAGAGGCAAGGACCCGAGGAACAAGAGGACGAGCAGCACGAAAGAAGTCAGACAGAGGAGGAGACGCAACTGTAAGAGAAGACGGAGGAGGCGACGGGAGGAGGGGAGGACGAGACGCGTGGGAACGGAGCAACATAGGGTGAGAGCGCGGGGTGGGGAAGACAGGACGAGCACGGGAGGGACGGCGAGACCAGACGTGAGAGGGAGGCGTCAGGTCAGGAGACAGAGGAGGGGACACGGGTGGGGAACGAGGGGGAAAACGAGCCGGGGACGAGTCCGGCGGAGGGAACACGGGGCCGTAGACGGGAAGAGGAGGAGACGGCAGGAGAGGAACAGGAAGCGGCGTCAGCGTAGTGGATTCGCGGAAGAAACACCGGGAAGCGCCAGAGTCCAAGGTGAAGGAAAGTGCAGCAGTGGCGCCTGGCGGCGGAGAAGCGGTGGAAGCACCAAGGCTACACAAAGCAGGAGATCCTACGCCTGACGCAGCAGGGGAGTCTACGCTAGGCACACCTACACTAGGCAACACGGGGTATTAAGAAGGAAGCACACTAGAGTCATCAGCATACATCACATGCAGGGCGGCTACAATGGCATCCATGTCCAAGTCAAAAATCTGAATACTACGCCTAAGCAAGCTGTGCCAGTCCGGGAGGTCGGGCGACGGGCCAAAGCGCTGACGGAACAAGTCGTCCAGGCGACGAAAACAGCGAGGAGTGGAATGACCGATCTTACTGCAAACGAAGCCGCGGCGCGGACCGGTCTGGATCTGGTACTGACAGCGCACGCCTCCGGAACCACCACCCGGCGCACCACCACGCGCACGGCCACTACCAGCTCCAGGCCACCCGGGCGGGAGGGCACTCGCATGCCTCGTCGGCGGCGGCTGCTGTGGCTGCTGCGGAGGCTGCGGCTGCGGCGACTGCTGCTGCTGCTGCGGCTGCTGAGGCAGTGGGTCAGCCGGACTGGGCAGCGTCCCCTCGTCCGCTCCACCACCAGACGACCCGACTCCACCACCACCCCCTCCTCCACCCCCGCCTTCCCCGCCGCGCCCAGCCTTGGGGCGGCGACCCTTCCCCGAGCGAAACTGCGCGGCTGCAGCAGTCTCAGCCACAGCGACAGAGCCGTCGGAGAAGGTACACTGAGCGGGGGCACAACCCTGAAAGATAGGGACCGGTACCGTACCGCTCGCCCGGGCGATGAAGCGGTGGCGAGTCTCGATAACAGTCAGGGTGTCTACGAAGTCGGTGAGGGTGAGCTCAGCGGGGTGAATGCTAAGGAACTGGTCGCAGGCGGCGGCAAGGCGGTCAGGGAGGCGGGTGGCAAGCAGGTAGAGGGTAGAGGTCATGGGCGGCTGGTGGGCTCTAAGCTGTGCATCAGTGCAGGCAGCACGCCAGGTCTCATCTATCGAGCGCAGGTGGGCAGCTAGGTCAGAGACAGTGGGGAAAGACGCAAGGTCGGGAAAGAGCATCGGGAGGATCAGGCGACCCACGGAGGCAGCAGGGGGGGCAGAATAGCGCTTGATGACAGCATCTAAGTAGGCCTGGGCGGCAGTGATGGACCTAAAGCGAGGGCGCTCAGGCGGGGGAAGGGCATTGCTAATGGCGAGCTGAGCAACAGCGTCTCGGGAAAGCCAGACAGAGCGTGCTAGGGCAGCGGCGGCAGTGGACTCGCGCTCAGCGGGTGTGGGGTCGGCGGGCAGCACAGCAGGGGGGTCTGGGTAGGGGAGCGTACCGTTAAGGTGTGCGGAAAGCGGGTGGCCATCCAGCCGCTGGCCGGTGAGGTGGCGGCGGAGGTCGGCAAGCCACGCCTCGAACTCCAGTGGCTGACCTTCAGCATCGAAGTGAAGCTCCGCCGCCATCAGGAGCAGGGAAGGACTATACAGGGCGGTGCAGAACAGTGCAGTCGGATGCAGTGCGGTGCAGTGCTGTGCAATGCGGTGCAGTGCGGTTCAGTGCGGTCCAGTGTGGTGCAGTGCGGTCCAGTGCGGTCCAGTGTGGTGCAGTGCGGTCCAGTGCGGTGCAGTGCAGTGCGGTGCAGTGCGATCCAGTGCGGTGCAGTGCGGTGCAGTGCGATGCAGTGCGGTGCAGGGAAGTGCAGTGCGGTGCAAAGCGGTGCAGGGAACGGGGGACAGTACCAGGGAGGATGTAGGGCCGGGGCTGTGACGACGAGGCTGGGCAGGGCGAGACGAGGCCGGGCAGGGCGCGGCGAGGTCGGGCAGGGCGCGACGGGGCCCGGCAGAGCGCGTCGAGGCCGGGCAGGGCGCGACGGGGCCGGGCAGGCGCGACGGGGGGGTCGGGCAGGCGCGACGGGGCCGGGCGAGCACGACGGGGCCGAGCAGGTGCGACGGGGCCGGGCAGAGCGCGACGGGGCTAGGCAGGGCGCGACAGGGCCAGGCGGGCGCGACAGGGCCGGGCGAGCACGACGGGGCCGGGCAGGAGCGACGGGGGCCGGGCAGGCGCGACGGGGCCGGGCAGGCGCGAGGGGGCGAGCAGGCGCGACGGGGGGGGCCGGGCAGGCGCGACGGGGCCGGGCGAGCAAGACGGGGCCGGGCAGGTGCGACGAGGCCCAGGAGGGGCGCGAACGGGCGAGGAGGCGCGCTAGGGGCCCAGGAGGGGCGCGACTGGGCTAGGAGGCGCGCTAGGGGCCCAGGAGGGGCGCGACTGGGCTAGGAGGCGCTTTAGGGGCCCAGAAGGGGCGCGTCTGAGCTAGGAGGCACGGTAGGGCCCAGGGAGGCGCGACTGGGCTACGAGAGACGAAGGGCCCAGGAGGGGCGCAGCGGGGCCTAGCGAGGGTAGGAGCGGAAGCGATAAGTGGGGGGGGGGGGGGGGGGGGGGGGGGGTCGAAACCTACGCGTGATACCATATCAGAGTAGAAGAATGAATTAAAAGAGAGAGAACATGTGAATATACCTAAGAGTTGTACCCTATATAAGACATGACTCTATTCAGTCTATGCAAACATAGTAGATATACATGTTTGACAGCTAGGTGCTAGGTGGCGTGGCAACGGGGCCACGGGTGGCCAGGCGCTAGGTGACGGGGCCGCGGGGCCAGAGCGGCTAGGCATTAGGGGATAGGGCCACGGGGCCAGCAGGCGTTAGGAGACGGGGTCGACGGGCCAGCTAAGCAACGGGGCAGCGGGGCCTGTGGGCCGGCGAGGCGCGAGGCGACGGGGGGGGACCTGACCTACTCATGATACCATCTCAGAGTTAGAATTGAGTAGTAGAATGAGAGTATACAAGGGTATAGAACTAGTGGGTTGTAGTCTCTGTGGCATGACCCTATGTAGTCTACTAAACATACACACGTATGTTTGACACATCTATCCTAGATATTATCTATCAGTGGAAATTAGAATCACTGACTAAGTCCAAGCCTTCAAGAGGAAGACCATCCACCGTCCTATAGCTGATTGACAGTTGCTACGTCTAACCTACTGAAATGTAGTAGTCAGGCTATTCTACAAGTACCTTAGGTCAGTTGGATCCCCTTACCCCCCCTGTAAGTCAGTCAGGACAGCTCTCTTGACCCCCTTGTCAACCTTACCACTGCCGTTTGAACCTCTCCGGTCTTACCACAGCACCAGCTATGTTCACCCCTTGTGCAGATGAGCACCTGGCAGCACAAGTATCAGCCTTTTCACTCTCCCTCCTCCGCTTTTGGAACCTACTAGTCTCTGCAAGTTCTTGCTGTATGGAGAAGAGCGGCTGCATAACGCAGTCTGTACCCAGCTTCCGCTTTATCCGCTGGAAGCTCATCCTCTCTTTCCACGACCTAGATCTCTCCAATCTCGCTGCCACAAACTTCCTTAGCAGCGAGTTGCCTCTGGGGTCTCTCCTTCGTGCAACAGGAACAGGAGATGATGCGTTCCCTTCCCCAAGTACACTTGCAGCTGCACTGGAACCTCTCACAGCCTCTGCACACCTCTGAGAACTCCCTCCATTGCTGTGCGCCCCTAATGAGCTGCCTCCTAGTGAGGTACCTCCTGATAAGCCACCTCCTGTCTCTTGGGCACCATCCTGCTTCTGCCTCTTGCCATCATGGTGACGCAGCATCTCTTCCTGTTCCCTGCATCTCCTCATCTCGCCCACCTCCGATCTCTCTGTTCTGCCACAGCCCTCATCCTCCTCCTCGCCATCGCCACTCTGTTCCTCCCTCTCTTCCTCCACCTCCCCTTCCTCCTTGTTCTCGTCCAAAACCTTCCTACTCTTGTTGTTCCTCCCAGCTCCAGGAACCTCCCTCCCGTTCACGCCCTTAGAAGACTCTGTCAAAATTCCCCCGTTTCTGACCACCCTCATTCTCGATCCCTCGGAACCTTGATTTTCCGAGTCTTTCCACTCCTGCTCCTGCTCACTCAAACTGGACGAGGGCACAGCAGAAGGAGGCCAAGAGGCAGGCGGGAGTGGAGGGAGCTCCCGGTCTCGAGCCTTTCTTTTTCTCTGAGCTGAGTCTTTCTTATCACGTCCCGATGCGCTGCCACCTTTACTGCTGCCACCACCCAAACCGCTACAACCATCTCTTGAAGCGGGTCTGCCTCTGCCGTCCCTGCCAGCCCCGCCATCACTATAATCACATCCGCCTGCTTCTCCCACTGCATCAGCACAAGCGGATCCCTCCCACTGATGCTCCTCTCCTTGACTCTCCTCCCCGTGCTGCCTGTTCCCCTTTCGTCTGCCCTCCCCTCTGGCCTTCCCCGCTCCACTGCCCCCCTCTTGTCTTTGTGACGGGGCCACGTACCCTCTCAGCTCCTCCTGCCGCCGGTTCAGTGAGTGCAGACGCACAGAGAAGGACGACCCACGAGAGAAGCAGCGCGGACCAGAGGACGGATCGGACACAGAGGCGGAGGGAGGGGAAGAAGTGTTGCTGGTGGAAGCTCGAACAGGGGGGGCTACGGAGGAGCGGGAGGAGGAGGCGGAGGGAGGGTGCGAGAAGGAGAGGTTGCTGGGTTGTACGAGGCCATCTGGATCCACGGAGAGACTAACGTTGCCATTGTTGACCTGGAAGGGGGGGGGGAGGGGAGGGGAGGAGGAAAGGGATGTGTGTGTGAAGCGCATTGCGTAACAGCGAAGGGCAGGATGAGAGAGGATGTCAGCACCGATGGGGCACAATGGAAAGAAAAATATCTCTAATTTGGTGGCACTTTATAAGCTCAGCAACCGTTCCAAGCATTCGTTGCCTTTCAGTTAAGAGGTAGTGGTTGAAGTGCACTCGATCGTGCGGGAACTGGCGACATATCAGGCGTGCTAAATGTGGGGCATGGGAAGCAAGAGGCTTACCAGCTGCAGCAGTGCAGAGAAGTATCGGGGGACCTCATATGCATGTGGAGTGTTAATCACATTCTCAAACAGGTCCTCGCACAACTGTTCCTGCTGTTGCCCTTCCTCCCGTTGACCCATTTCCTCCTCCTCCTGCTGCTGCTGCCGCCGCTGCTGCTGCTGCTGCTGCTGCTGCATCTGCTTCTGCTCCAGGGCTGACAGAATGAGATCCCCATACACGTGGATGTCAAAAGGAGGGCGCTCGTCCTGGCACATGGCAAACAGTTCACTAGATTGTCTGAGCAGAGCTTTATGCTTGAATGAGTTTCCGCCAAGACAGAACCGACCAAGCAGCACACAAGGTATTGCTCATCGAAGCGGCTCCAATGGCAGGGGATATGATTTAGGCAAGGAAGCAAAAGGGGCAAGAACGACCTCACCAAGGTTCCCGGCTAGAGCCCCTGGCACAAGCACTCACCTGTTGTTCTAGCAGCGGCAGAATGCGAGCCTGCCAGTCCCCCACCCTCGTCTCCACCTCTGACTTCCGCGCCTGCACTGCTGCCGCCCTCTGTAGCATCTCCGCCTGGTGGTGTCACGAGGAAGGGGGTGGGGAGGGAGGGACTTTGGAAAGATGAAGGGTTGGCAGGAGGACTGGGCGTCAGATGGGGAACTTGACAAGTGCCATCACACATGTGTTATCACATGAACGCAGCGCTGTTTGGGCATGGAAAGGGCAGCTTGAGGGGCTCACCACATGGGCATCTCGCATAGCTTCCACTGTGGCCGCATGCGGTGCTGAATCAGACTCATGCAGGGGTGGTTCTGGATGCATGACGTTGGCCTCCCACTCCATACCTGGCTGCTCGCACATGCGCGTATAGGCACACATGCAAGCGCACGCACACAGACATGCTCAGTAAGGAATAACATTTTGAGGCACACAGGGGAAAGTGATGGGAGGATGGAAGGTTGTTTACAACGAAACAAGACAGTGCTTAGACCCCCGAGACTTTCCCAAGAGGGCCTTCAGAGTGGATTAAGGGGTAGAGTGCACTATAAGCGCACCAGGAGGGGCTTGAGAGTCGCTGAGTCGGGTTTAAGAAAGGATTTACGGGGTGTCTTGGCGGGTAACAGTGCGTGCCACGCCATGCCTGCTACGGGGTACTCACCAGTGGGCCGGCGCCCGGAGGTGGCGTGCATCGAGGCCGCGCCATGCCCGCCTCGCACTCCCCGTTCTCCCCATCGCTGTCCCCATCGCCGCCCCCACCGGCCCCATCATCGTCGTCCTCTATGTCCATGCCATCTTGCCCATCTGCGCCACCGCCCGGATGTGCTTGCCCGTATGCCTCATCGGCGTCTGCTTCTAGGTCCGCAAAGACGTTGCCTACTGGGGGCTCTAGGGCGCTACCTGCCTGCTGGAAGGAGAGGAACATACCCAGACACACACACATGGAGACACACGCACGCACAAGACAGAGCCAGTCAATACACAACGGCATGTTCAAGGCAATGCGACGCACATTGTCACGCACACACCATCCACGACGACAGAATTCAAAGAGTGGTGAATATACAGAAGCATATCTCGCGCCAAATACCCCCCACGCGCTCCATAGGACCGTCCCTCCCACCAAGTCTCCCCCATCCTCACCACCCCCCTCATTCCAACGCCCCGCACACTCCTTCCCTACCTTCTGCGACCCTCCGTCCTCAGCGCTCCTGCCTGGAACCCCGACTCTCTGCCTCTTGCCGTCGCGCATGACGGCTCGCTGGATGATGCTCTCTATGTCCGGGAGTATCATGCCGCGCCCCTTGCCCGCCAGCAGGGGGAACGTCAGACACACACTCGGATCGCTCAGCCTGCTGCTCCAATCCCCACCGTCGGTTTTGCGCTTGGCGCGCAGGTAGGGCCGGCCTGGGGGATGGAGGAGCCGGGGGAAGGGGAGAGGGGAGAGCAGTGTGGGAGGGGGAGAGGGACAGGTGTGCGAGCGGGAGATGAGGCGAAATCCTGAAAGGCGAACCAAAACAAGCCCTGGGTCAAGACACCGTTGCGAGCCACCCGAAACAGCAGCAGAGCACAAGTTCGCTACTCCGCTACTTCCTAGTTGTAAGCTCCACCCTCCCATGCAGCAGCGTCCGTGCGGCCCTCCCCCTCACCTTTCCGGAGCGGCCTGAGCGGCATGCAGGCTGCATCGTCGGGATCGAGCGGGGCGAAGGGGTCATACTCCGCTGCCGCCTCCTCCTGGCCCCTGCCCCTCCCACTCGCACTCCCTTTCCCGCTCCCCCCTCTCGACCCTGACCTGTTCTGCGCACTCCCACTCTGCCCGGGGACCCCCCCCACCCCACCATTTCCAGCACCAGCTGCGCCGCTACCACTCCCCGCAGCTTCCCCGCTCCACTCCCCCGCCTGGGACCCATGCGCGTCTGCGCCGCCCGCCGCTGCCTCCGCCCAATCTCCGCAGTCAAACCCGCCAGCCGTCCCCATCCCGTCCTCATCGTCATCGTCCCCCGTCCCCGTCCCCATCCCCATGCCTTCCGCCGCCTGCCAATTGCTCGGCCCCGCAACTCCGTCCCCCCATTGCGCGCACCCCGCTCCACCCATGTCTTCCGCCACTGCCTTCCCTTTTTCCGCGTAAGGCGACAAATGCCCCCCTTTGCGCGGAAGCGGGGGGGTGCAGTCTGGGGAGAGGCCCGGTTGGGGGAAGGAGAAGGCGGGGGAGCCGGGGCTCATCGCTGCGCGGAAGTGCGCGGGACGACGCCGCGGAAGGCGCAGCAGAGCGTCCATGACGTCCCCGTCTTGCGCCTCCAGGAAAACAGACCCCGAGACGTGGCTGACGAAACCGGCCATCTGAAAGGAACCAGGGGCAATGGCACACACAGGCAAAGGCAGCGGTAGAGGATGTGGGTGGGGTGAGGGGGCAGCTTCCGTCTGTCGGGGACGATGGAGCAGTGGGAACGATCCATAACAGGACCGCTAAGTATCTCCCAATTACTGCATACGCATCTCCTGGACCTCTAAGTACCACCCAAGGACCACTTTTCACCTTGAAGGAGGAGAGCTCAGCGGAGGTCACAGTGCTGGACCCCTTCCCCCCGTCCAGCTCCTCCTCCACTGTCAGCAGTATGGGGGGCGCGCGGGGAGGCAGCTTTGACCCCTGCCGCGCCCCCACACCCCCCCCTGCGTCCGCCAGCCCTCCCTCCTCGTCGTCGTCTTCGTCCTCTGGGGTTTTCCTCTGGTCCTTTTCTCGCATGTCCAACCGCGACTGGTCCGTGCCGGACCCAACCACTGGGGCCAGAACGAACCACGAAGGAACGAAGGAGCAGAGTGAGAGAGAAGGGAAGGAGCCATGTCGAGGGGTACAGTGATTTTGAGATACAGGGAAACGAAAACAGGGAGCAAGTCGAAGTAGCAGGCTAGCTGATGGGCCATACAATGGGTAGTGTGGAGAGCCAAGCTGGAAAGCGATCCAAAGACGTCACGACACTTCATCAAATGTACTGACCTTCCACGTCATCCAGCAATAGGAACCGATGCAGGTCGCAGTCGTCCCCGTCACTGCCATTGCCCTGCGCGTCACCGGAGTCCTCCCCGTCGTTGCTGCTGTCGTTCGTCTCCCTGCCATGGCACCAGCCCACCGTCGCACAACGCAGAGCAGCCACGAAGGATTACTTCCCCATAAGGGGCTGATGATCAGCAGAATAGGCTTCTCGCGGATTCGTGCTCAATGCTTTCCGACTTTGCCCATTCCCCTTACGACAATCGCGCTCACCACTTCAGAGCAATCCTCTGAATGAGCTGCTAGGAGCTTTTGCCAATACCCTCTGTCAGTTACTCACCCGGTCGTGAGTGTGGTTAGAGCGTGTAGCACGAGGCTGTGCAAATAGTCCGTCTTGCGACTATAGATACCCGCCGACCCTTGCACGACAAGCGCGGCTGCCAGGAGGATCATATCATAACGGGGATAATGTCAAGTTAGCCTTCATGAAATGACCGAACCAAACCGCGACTGACTTCATGCACGAATGTAAACGACGCAAAAAACTTCGTCGCGTTCTTAACTTTTTCAGCTTCCTACTCGCACCGGGAAGCTGCTAGATCTTCCTATCCCTCAAGCACAATAACGAATTCCGTCCGTATCCGTAACTTCTATACATCCCTACGTTAACGTAGCCCGTCAACGATGGTAGAACAAGGGGTCTCGCACCTTCCACGAAGTTCAGTGAGGCGCCATCTTGTAGCGAGCCTGCTGCTCCGTGCAACTCGTCCAGGTACTCGCCTAATACACTAGCCACGTCAATGGTCCAGTTGAGGGCTAGGTCCCTCTCGGGGTGGAGAATCTTAGTGAATCTGCTTCCAGCATCTTCGTCTCCACCCCTCCCTACAGCGGAATGCATTTTATATCGCTTATAGATAGGTTCCTCAATGCTGGAGTTAACAAGCCACAGAGTTATCGGGTGAAAGGCTCAACTTTAACATTTCAGCGAGACGACAGCCAGGAGTTAACAAAGGGTTGGTGGAAGAAAGGCTTGATATGAAAACACGAGAGACTGGTAAGCTAGGTGAACGCTTGAGCCTTCTAAACCCTTGGCATACTAAGGAGTCTGGTCTGATGGACGGAAACGGAAAGCTACAGTGCATTTCGCAAGCAGAAACCGAATTCAGTCAGGCTGGTTGCAATATCTAGTCCTCCCAACTGACGAAGCAGTGCTTGGGTTTTTAGGAGTCCTGAAGAGGCTGGTGATCTAAGTCCTGATCAGCATCAGGATTCATTAGACAACGGCTTGGCTGGTGCCGCCAGGGCTAGGGGGAAATGATTCCACTGAAATCATCCTCCTGATGGTTGGAAAGAGAGCAGCAGGGGAGTTGAGGCGAGACGAGACGCAGTGAAACCAACCCCTTGTCAGATTCCCGACCTGCCGAACCGACCTTCCTGATTCAAATTTCTCCCGCCAATGGTCCTGCAGAGCTCGAGGCTTGGCGGGAGTTTTGGAATACCTCAAAAACTTGATGCTATTCCGCATTGCAGAAAGAGCCGATAAGGACACAAAGTGAAAAGAAGCCCATGATACACACCGACTATGTGGCTTACCAATGAGGAAATAATCTTAGACATGCCCTCAGAAATTCATTGTTCCGAGCAATTGAATCATCCATTTCTCAATGAATATTTTATGACCCGCAGTTAAAATAGAAAAATAAAAAAATCACATCGTGATGCGACAAGCAAGGTTGTAGAGATGGACAAGTGGCTATTGGAATCAGTGAGTGGCTACTAATAATTCTGCTTGTGACATCATATTGTCAAGATACACGCTGGGGTTGCCCTTGGTCCTCGAGGAAGGGTCATAGGTGCAGAGCCTGGGGGGTTATGGGCGCACTGTCAACTTATACATTTGTTATCCATGTCTAGTTATAGACTAGACAGATTAATGCTCTTAAAGCGTACAGCACAAACAGATATATCATCCTGCATGTCATTTTGACATGGTATCACGCTTCCGCCCTAGCCTACCATAGAGCGCTCCGCCCTAGCTTGCCGCGCCTGCCCTAGCCCTTCACGCCGTGCTGGCCCTAGCTCACGGAGCCGCGCTGGCCCCTAGCCCGCCACTCTGGCCTCTAGCTCGCCGCGCTAGCCCCTAGCCTGTCGCGCTGGCCTCAACTCGCCGCGTCGGCCCTGTCTCACCGCACCGCCCTAGCTCGTCGCGACGGACCCAGCTAGCCACGCGGCCACCAGCTCGCCGCGCGGCCACCAGCTCGACGCCGACCCCCGCTCGCCGCGCGGCCCCCTACTCGCCGCTGGCCCCAGCTCGCCGACGTCCCCAGCTCACCACCGGCCCCAGCTCGCTGTGTGGCCCCCAGCTCGCCGCGCAGCCCCTAACTCGCCGCGACCTCACCCTGCTCCCCATCGGCCTCGGTTCGCCACCGGCCCTAGCTCGCCATGCGGCCCCCAACTCGCCACCGGCCCCAGCTTGCCGTATGGCCAACAGCTCGCCGCGGCCCCCTGCTCGCCATCGGCCCTAGCTCGTTGCCGGCCCCAGCTCGCCACCAACCCTAGCTTGCCGGGTCGCCCCAGCTTGCCGCCGGCCCTGGTTTCTCCTCTGCGCCGACGCTCCCGTAGACTGTCTCCTCTCTTACGGCTTCACTGCTCTCTACCATACTCCACCGCACTTCTCGGCACTCCACGGCACCCCACCGCACCCTACCACAACCCAGTGCACCCCTCCGCTCTCCACCGCACTCCACCAAACCCGCCTGCCTCCTGCTCCTCCTCCGCATGAGCTCTCCAGCTGCTGCAGCTGTACGTGATGGCGGACGCTGATCTCCGCGTAAACCCTAAACCCTAAACCCTAGATGTCGATTTTGAGGCGTGGCTCACCGACCTGCGCTTCCAGCTAAAGGGTCAGCGCCACGATGGCTAGTCCATGGCCATCCATGTCGATGGTAAGCTGCCCTACCCCCACGTGTCTGCTGCCCTACCTGACGTCCCCACGGCCGCTGAGCGTAAGACTTTCACTGCTACTGAGCTCGGTCGCTCTGACTAGGAGCCGTGTGAAGCCACTACGCAGCTAGCTATAAGTCACGCTCTTTCCCTATCCGAGCGTCCCCGCTTTCAGGCCCTAGAGACGGCCAAGGAGCCCCTAGATGTTGTCATTACTCGCTATTCCTCTCCCTCCTCCGCCTCTGCTGGCCGCCTCCTCCTGCCCCTGCTCTTTCCTGATCTCGCGTTCTTCCCCACTATCGCTGATCTTGCTATTCACCTGTACACGCTACCCTGCTGCTAGCACAGAGGCTCAACTCACTGTACTTCCTCCATGCCTTGGCGCTACGCTTTATTTCTTAGCCACGCGCCTCACCGACCGCCTATCTCTGCACGCGACACCTTGCTTAGCCTCCACCCCACTAACCTCACCCTTAGCGACATCGTCGCCACCTTGGCGGCGATAGAGACCCGCCAGCGCACTATCATCCAGTCTAGCGGTACTGCGTCGGTCCCTACCTTCCAGGGCTGTGCTCCCTCCCTGTGCACTTACTCTGACGTTTCTGCTGCTATAGCTGAGACCGCCGCGGCGCCCGCAACACAGCCTCGTCGGGATACAGCCCCTCGTCGACCTAGAGGGGGGCGTAAGGGAGGAAAGGGTGGTGGCGGGGGAGGTGGCGGTGTGGGAGTGCTAGGAGTGGAGACGAGAGGGTGGGAGCAGACGCCCCAAAGCAGCAGCAGGAGCAGCAGCAGCAACAACAACAGAGGCATCAGCTGCAGAAGTGGGGAGCCTTGCCGCCACAGTGGCCATGCGGCTTCGGTGGTGATGGCCGCGGAGGTGGCCCTCGCAGCTCAACGTCGGGTGGCGGCTCTAATTCTGTAAATTGCTAGTACCAGATTCAGACTTGTCCCCTTCGTGGTACCGTGTCTGACCGCCACGGTCACACCTCTGCCCGCTTCTACCGCCGCCTCGACGACCTCTTCCGTCTCCGCTTCGGGCCCACGCCGTCCCTCCTAGATTGGCACAGCCTGGTATGTGATAGTGTGCCAATCTTTGAGTTAGACATGGACCAGATTTGCTCTGCTATGTATGCCATGTATCCTATTGAATCTAGTGTGACTTGACCGTATTACCTTGTGTTGCCTAGCTTAACTGTGCCTGCTGTGTGTAGGCTAGGCTTCCCTGCTGCGTCTGGCGTAGGATCTCCTGCCTTGTTTAGCCTAGGCTCCATGCTAGTGCCCCCGTTGGCTAACGCTACCGCCGCACTCTCCTTCACGTTGGACTCTGGTGCGTCCGTTTGCTTCTCTCGTGACCACACCACTCTCATGCCGCTTGCCGCCCCAACAGCTGTCTCCCTTGTTGACCCTTCCTCCATTCCGGTAGTAGCGCGTAGCTCTACCACCCTTCCCTGTCCGGCGGTTCGCTCGGGCTCTCTTACGGGTCTGCATATCCCCTCGCTCTATAAGAACCTACTGTAGTTGGTGTCGGTTGTCTTCAAGTCCTCGGCGTCACCACTACGTTCCCTAGACACGGGCGGTACGTAGTTTGTATCGAGGCGTCCACTGGAGCTCCTCCCACCACGTTCCCTCGAGACCTGGTGTTAGGACAGTTCACGCTACACACAACGTCTGTGAGAGTACGACCCCGTTACACCAATTTCCCCTTTTCATATTTCCTTTCTATTTCATTCCTCTTTTTATCTCATCTCATTTGGTTTCCTATTCCTCCTTTTCCATTATCCTTTGGTTTATCCTGTTATTATAATAATATCACCGACCAGGCTCGGGATGTACTGGCGCGCTATATCCAGGGTTATCCTGCCATACTCCCTTAAAACCAATAGCCTCGCGTGGCTATACGTAAGAAGATTCTATTTCTAGAAGGGTCTATTCCCTTTGGATAGGATAAACCTGGTTACTTGATGTACTCGGGAAGTATAAAAGCACCTTGTACTGATTGATGGGGCAAGATTGAGCAAACCTTTCCTCGACACATTCGATCCTGTGAAACTTGGTAATCAGAGCCAAGGTTTCAGCTCAACGCTTAACCGCTGGGCCCCCTGGAGCATGCTGAGGATTGACAGCTTTCGTTGCTTTCCCCGGAAGGAGATTGTTGGAAGCATTATCGCAAATGGGTTCCAGGTGACCTGCAGCAGCTTTTCCCATCCGTCTCAGGTCGCATGGGTCCGCAACAAAACGTTTATGAGATGGATCACATCCACAAGGGCTTAGCTCTGCCCGGAGGAGAGAACCATGACCTGCACAACCGCCATGCCCAATACGCCCGTGCGGTTCCGACTTTCCATCACAAGCCATGGTTCTCTGATGTTGTGTGGTTGGGGCGGGGTGGTGGGAAAATGTGCAGACCTCGGTTTGCTAAGCTGTTGCGTCTCTTTACCCTCACCAAGATGGTCGAGGGAGTGACAGTGAAGGAGATAGAACTCGATGTCAAACATATGTGTATACGTAACTATAGGCTAGATAGGTGTGTACTCTTAGAGAGTACAACCCCATAGCACAAAACCACCGTGTTTTTCTCATTCTAGTTAATTTCGTTACTCTGAGATGGTATCATGCGCTAGGTTAGGTCCTCCCCGCCCACCAGCGCTTCTGCTCTAGTCCTAGCCGTAGCCGCCCGTCGCTAGCCGTCCGTTGCTAGCCGTCCGTTGCTAGCCGCCAGTTGCTAGCCGTCCGTCACTAGCCGCCCGTTGCTAGCCGTCCGTCGCTAGCTGCCCATCACTAGCCGCCCGCTCCTAGCCGCCCGTCACTAGCCGCCTCTGCTAGCCGCTCGCCGCTCACCCCCGCTGGCCGCCCGTCGCCTCGTGCCCCCCTTAGCCGCCAGCCACATATAGCCGCTGGCCGCCCGTAGCCGCCAGCCGCCCGTCGCCGCCGGCCGCCTTTAGCCCCGTGCCTGTCGGCCCTAGCTCTCCGCCCCCCTGCAAGCTCGCTGGCTCCGTTCGTGGCCCCCTACTCGCTAACCCCGCGCTCGCCAGCCCCGCGCCCGCTGGCCCCGAGTTCGCCGGCCCCTCGCTCGCTAAACCCGCGCCCGCCAGCCCTGCGCTCGCTGGCCCTGCGCTCTCTGACCCCGCGCTCGCCAACCCCACGCTCGCCAGCCCCCCTCTTGCTGGCCCCACGCTCGCTGATCCTGCGCTTGCCGGCCCCGTACTCGCTGGCCCCGCGCTCGCCGGCCCCTAGC